ACACTGCCTGTATGTGTGTATTACTGGACTTCATTGTTAACACTGCCTGTAAGTGTGTATTATTGAGTACATGGTTAACACTTCCTGTTAGTGTGTATTACTGGACTACATGGTTAACACTGCCTGCTAGTGTGTATTACTGGACTACATGGTTAACACTGCCTGTAAGTGTGTATTACTGGAGTACATGGTTAACACTGCCTTGGATTGTGTATTACTGGACTACATGGTTAACACTGCCTGCTAGTGTGTATTACTTGACTACACGGTTAACACTGCCTGTAAGTGTGTATTACTGGAGTACATTGTTAACACTACCTTGGAGTGTGTATCACTTGACTACACAGTTAACACTGCCTTGAAATGTGTATTACTGAAGTACATGGTTAAAACTACCTTGGAGTGTGTATCACTTGACTACATGGTTAACACAGCCTGTAAGTGTGTATCACTGGACTACATGGTTAACACTGCCATGGAATGTGTATTACTGGAGTACATGGTAAACACTGCCTGTAAGTGTGTATTACTGGACTTCATTGTTAACACTGCCTGTAAGTGTGTATTACTGGAGTACATGGTTAACACTTCCTGCTAGTGTGTATTACTGGAGTACATGTTTAACACTACCTGTAAGTGTGTATTACTGGACTTCATTGTTAACACTGCCTGTAAGTGTGTATTATTGAGTACATGGTTAACACTTCCTGTTAGTGTGTATTACTGGACTACATGGTTAACACTGCCTGTATGTGTGTATTACTGGACTTCATTGTTAACACTGCCTGTAAGTGTGTATTATTGAGTACATGGTTAACACTTCCTGTTAGTGTGTATTACTGGACTACATGGTTAACACTGCCTGCTAATGTGTATTACTTGACTACACGGTTAACACTGCCTGTAAGTGTGTATTACTGGAGTACATGGTTAACACTGCCTTGGATTGTGTATTACTGGACTACATGGTTAACACTGCCTGCTAGTGTGTATTACTTGACTACACGGTTAACACTGCCTGTAAGTGTGTATTACTGGAGTACATGGTTAACACTACCTTGGAGTGTGTATTACTGGACTACATGGTTAACACTGCCTTGGAGTGTGTATTGCTACATTAATTTTTTTAAGTTCAGTATTCATTTTTGTCTTAATAAGTAAAAACAGGATTCTGTTAACATAGTCATTATTACAAAGCACAAATTCATTCTCATGGTAATTCATATTGGTCTTAATTTTAAAAAACCAAACATATTTTATGTTGTATTGTGTACGTGAACATTGATGGAATAATTCAAAACTGTAGGCAAGTTCAGTAATTAAATCAAATTGAAACTGTTCCTTTGAAAGGTGGCTAGGTTGTATTTGATAATACTGTGATGGATATTTATTTCAAGCCTTGATAAACGTATTTGATATTGATATCTACACATTAAGTAGAGCTTGTTGATTTGTGAGGAAGATATTAGTCTTAAATTGTCCATCAGAAATGTGATAGCCAGCTACTTAGCCATCAAGTCTACATTCAGCTGTGATGCTCTTGATTTTAATCTCCATGTACTGAAGGCCATGTATGTGACATATGTATGTACCTGTGATCTGGGTTATACATGCATGGAAGCATATCATACCTGGTTTATACATGTATGAACACCTTTGGCCCCAGGTTTATAGGTCGGAGACATTGAGTAGGTGGACCATTACTTTAATAGGTAATCATACAATTGATGGCATGATTTCAGAGGACTATCATCCTTTGTAATCAACATTGATGTTAAGGTGTTCCAAACCCATTTAATTCATATGAATAGTAAGATACTTCCTGATGCAAAAATGATTTTAGCTTGAATACATGGACTTGCCACAGATATACTGCAGCTTTCCTCTTTAGAGATGCTGCTCTCAAATTTGTCATTTCAAAGTGGTCACAATGGTCGTACTTGGCATCAGTTAAGTTCTTACCATTGTCATGGCAAAGTGGATATCTGGTTCAGGAAAAAATCTTGGGAGGGCAATCTGGGGGTAACTTTGTGATTAATGAGACTGGTATAATGTTAGATAGGATAGCAAAACCTTAGACGTCCTAGAAATAGAACAGTTATGCAGCGACATGAAAACACTTTGCTTATTGATCATGGGACATTGCATCACTATATCTGACATATGATGGATTCCATTGTTTTTGTGATAGGGATAAGCTCAATTCTCATGTTATAAACAGGTTCCATTACTACTTTAATCATTCTATACCAGTGGTGTACATACCTCAAATAGTTAAAACCAGTACTTTTATCTCAGAAATGTGTTACTTTTAGGATGAGTTACGTATATTTACTTTAAAGTTGTCCTGTGATTGTAACTTTAAAACTCGATGTCAAGTGACAGTGATTTTAAAATCTAAAAAAAACCTGTCATTTGACTGTTACTTTGCTTGACCTTAATTAGACATTATCTGTCCTGTGACAATAATTTTAATTGGACATCAGCTTTCATTTGACAATCATTTTAAAGTCTGAAACTGTGACGGGGCAGAATAGGTAACTGTCTTTAATATCACAACATAATGTGACTACATGACTTGAAAACATGATGTGACAACACCTGTAAAATCTGTCAGATGACAACCTATGTTGTGTGACAATAACTTTATATCCTACCATATAACAACAAGTATTTTGTTGTGTTATGATTTTAAAACATGTAATGATTTCACATAATTATACAAACTAAAATGTGACAACACACTCTGTTCTGTTGTGATATATCTGAAATGTGACAACACACTCTGTTCTGTTGTGATATATCTGAAATGTGACAACACACTCTGTTCTGTTGTGATATATCTGAAATGTGACAACACACTCTGTTCTGTTGTGATATATCTGAAATGTGACAACACGCTCTGTTCTGTTGTGATATATCTGAAATGTGACAACACACTGTTCTGTTGCGTTATATCTGAAATGTGACAACACACTCTGTTCTGTTGTGATGTATCTGAAATGTGACAACACACTCTGTTCTGTTGTGATATATCTGAAATGTGACAACACACTCTGTTCTGTTGTGATATATCTGAAATGTGACAACACGCTCTGTTCTGTTGTGATATATCTGAAATGTGTCAACACACTCTGTTCTGTTGTGATATATCTGAAATGTGACAACACACTGTTCTGTTGCGTTATATCTGAAATGTGACAACACACTCTGTTCTGTTGTGATGTATCTGAAATGTGACAACACACTCTGTTCTGTTGTGATATATCTGAAATGTGACAACACACTCTGTTCTGTTGTGATATATCTGAAATGTGACAACACACTCTGTTCTGTTGTGATGTATCTGAAATGTGACAACACACTGTTCTGTTGACAACACACTCTGTTCTGTTGTGATGTATATCTGAAATGTGACAACACACTGTTCTGTTGTGATATATCTGAAATGTGACAACACGCTCTGTTCTGTTGTGATATATCTGAAATGTGACAACACACTCTGTTCTGTTGTGATATATCTGAAATGTGACAACACGCTCTGTTCTGTTGTGATATATCTGAAATGTGACAACACACTGCTCTGTTCTGTTGTGATATATCTGAAATGTGACAACACACTCTGTTGTGATATATCTGTTCTGTTGTGATATATCTGAAATGTGACAACACACTCTGTTCTGTTGTGATATATCTGAAATGTGACAACACACTCTGTTCTGTTGTGATATATCTGAAATGTGACAACACACTCTGTTCTGTTGTGATATATCTGAAATGTGACAACACACTCTGTTCTGTTGTGATATATCTGAAATGTGACAACACACTCTGTTCTGTTGTGATATATCTGAAATGTGACAACACACTCTGTTCTGTTGTGATATATCTGAAATGTGACAACACACTGTTCTGTTGTGATATATCTGAAATGTGACAACACACTGTTCTGTTGTGATATATCTGAAATGTGACAACACACTCTGTTCTGTTGTGATATATCTGAAATGTGACAACACACTCTGTTCTGTTGTGATATATCTGAAATGTGACAACATGCTCTGTTCTGTTGTGATATATCTGAAATGTGACAACATGCTCTGTTCTGTTGTGATATATCTGAAATGTGACAACACACTCTGTTCTGTTGTGATATATCTGAAATGTGACAACACACTCTGTTCTGTTGTGATATATCTGAAATGTGACAACACACTCTGTTCTGTTGTGATATATCTGAAATGTGACAACACACTCTGTTCTGTTGTGATATATCTGAAATGTGACAACACACTCTGTTCTGTTGTGATATATCTGAAATGTGACAACATGCTCTGTTCTGTTGTGATATATCTGAAATGTGACACCTCTCTTTGTTTGTTTTGCAGTTTATTTTCTGTATATGTAGTGGAACAATCAACATGCACCTTTGAGGAAATGTAAATTTAGGAAGAACAAAAGCCAATACATTTTATAAAAGCATGTTCAGTTATATTCTGTAATAATGACTTCCTTAAGCTGAAGATGTTTAAGTCTGTAAACCTTTCAGTTTGGTTTCAAAGAATTATAAAACTTGTAACAAATATTCTACATACTCAACAAATGAAACACCCTTAACTGTCTTATAAATACCATATAACATTGCACTCATCCCACAACCCGGCCAATTGTGGCTTTCCAAATATACACGTCTTTCTGTGTTAGTTACCACAAGCATTCTTATTCATGTACTTTAAAATCAAGCTGGAAACATCAGTCTTATCATCTGTAATTTTACCGAGTGTAACTACAGGCATCCTAACTCACCAAGCATTAAAGTCAAGCTGCAAAAGTCTTTCTTATCATCTGTACTTTGTCTATTTCTTAAATTTTTGGAGGTATCTGTCTTTTACAATTTCATTCCATCCATGAAAAGTAGTAATATCTAAAAAGTTCTATTTTAATGAATACACAAAGATATATAGATTAGTTTGATAAACATTATATTATTGATTTTACAGGTCTGTCTAGCCCCACTAATACGCCGTCAAAGAAGAACCATCTACAGGAAGTTAGGGATGTCCCCTCCCCAGAAGGGGGTGTGTCTAATCCAGCATTTAGTGACATAGATGTCAGTTTAGCAGAAGAAGGTAAGTCTTAGACTCAGCGTTATATCTTATACCTCTTCTGTGTCTTGGTTAAGACTCAGATTTTTCATAAATAGCATGTACAGATTTCAGTTTTAATCTTTAGATGAACTCTGCACAAATAAGACACTGTTTTAGTTGTTAAAGTTGTGTACTGAATGTAAGTGACCATTTGATAAGGTTACTGTTCAAGTGAGTTAAGTTACTTTTCAAGTAAAGTTTGTATTCAAGGAAACAGGGTTAATGTCAAAGTAAAGTATTCAAGTAAACAGGGTTATTGTCAAAGTAAAGTATTCAAGTAAACAGGGTTATTGTCAAAGTAAAGTATTCAAGTAAACAGGGTTATTGTCAAAGTAAAGTATTCAAGTAAACAGGGTTATTGTCAAAGTAAAGTATTCAAGTAAACAGGGTTATTGTCAAAGTAAAGTATTCAAGTAAACAGGGTTATTGTCAAAGTAAAGTATTCAAGTAAACAGGGTTAATGTCAAAGTATTGTTACTATTCAAGTAAGGTTGCTGTTCAAGAAGTAAGGTTGCTGTTCAAGAAGTAAGGTTGGTTACTGTTCAAGAACTAAGGTTACTGTTCAAGAAGTAAGGTTGGTTACTGTTCAAAAAGTAAGGTTACTGTTCAAGAAAGGTTAAAGTGTGCAAATGACCTCTGATGTGTTACAATCTTGTAATGAATTGGGTCAGGTTATTTTGTTGAATATTTAGGTACCACACTCCCTGGACTACAAGGCAGTTCTTCTCTTTAATTATTCATACTGTTTAGGTAAGGTTAATATTCATGTAAGGTTAGTGTTCTTTTGATGTATTGTTCAAGTGATTACCATTCCAATAAGGTATTATATAACTAGTTTAAATGAAAACAAAGTTATGCTATTGACAAGATAAAATTAACAAAGGGCTATAACTCTATAATTGGAGGTGGGGGAGGGTTGTCGTGGTCCCTGAATTTGGTACACTGCACACTGCCTTAGGATGACCAATGTATAGACAAGTTTTATAATATTTGCTTAACTATGGACAAAATTATGTTCTGGAAATGAACAGACAGATTGAAAGATTTACCGACAAACAAAGCAGCAACCCTATGCTCCCCACAAAATTTCAGGGAAGCATGAAAATACTCTTTAGTGGTGTACTTTCTTTCATACTGACTTGTCTGCTATATCACTAACACATTACCCTATAAAATAATGTTTAGTTAAATACACCTGTTATCAGTTTTCTTTATTGTTCCTTAATTTCAGTCAAATCTTACTGTAATTTCATTTTTCTTACCATACTGAATTAAGGGCTTTGGAGCATAGGTCCTGCAGATTTTTCAGTCAGTTATTAGCATATTCATGACATGCATGATTTATGATGTTCTAATTAAAATATCAGGTGTTGAAACATCTAGTGTATACTTGAAATTCCAGACAAACATTTAATTTAAAACCTACATAATGTAAACTTCTGTACACCTGATCCATATCAAGCTGAATTGATCTGGTGACCTACCTCCCCCAGTATTGTTATGGAATGATCCATATTCCCGAGCTATGGAGAAGAATATAGAGTAACATACTAAATTCCACAGTGGAGGGCTAGTTTACTGATGGAATGATAAGGGGAGAGGTATTAGATATCAGTGTCAGCACTTCTGTTTTATGAAAACCTGTCCATGCAAGTTCTACATAATGTGCATACAGGTGATTTGTGATAAGATGCTTCCCGTCCTCTCATGATCACCAGGTATTTCCTCCTCTCCACTTACCTCACAGGAAGTGTTTTCTCATTTTTCTGAATATAATTAAATCAATGATATGTTTTTCCCCACTTTGTCAAATTATTATGACTGCTTATTCTCCAGTTTAGTAAGACATGTTTTCCTTTTTTCTCATTCTACGGTATTTTCTGGGTTATACGCTGCACCGATATGTAAGTCGCAGAGCCAATTTTTATAGACTTTTTCGATTAGATCCACATATAAGCTGCACCAGAATATAAGTCCCATCCTTTCTTACGATATGGTGATCACTATTGTTGACGTTTGATATACCAGTAACAGATAACGTCAGGCAGTTCTTACAAAATATAATCGTTATGTTGATCAAAGTTTGTTGATATAATAGACAATGGAGGACAATTTATCAAGATTGTCAGTAAAACATTTAATAAAGCTTGCACATGAATAATACACAGACAATTTTTTTATGTAGCTCAAAAAACGTAAAATAGCAAATATTAATTTTGTTTGACTTGGGTGCCATCACAGATTGTGTAGATATAGGGCCTGAAGTTACGTAGTTTACAAAACAATCTCACCATCTGTATTTGTACTTTTAAATATAAGCAAAGGCCCTCGCATGCTGACCAAATTCTTATAGTCCCATATTATTTCTTTTCAATTGCATGAAGCCATTCATATCATAATAAGCATGGTGGTTGTTCTAGAATTTGACCTATAACCCAATGACAACGATCCCAGGATGCAAAGGCAATTGTACACATCCACAAAAGTCCAGAATATCAGTATCTAGTTGTGATGACTGACCTACTTTATTGATATCTAGTTGTGATGATTGACCTACTTTATTGATATCTTGTGATGATTGACCTACTTTATTTATATATAGTTATTTTTGTTTTTTGGGTATCTGTCTGTAATTGTATTTATATCTCCTCCATCTTTTTTCCAGTTGAGGGATTTATTTTATCTAGTTTTTACCTGGAATGCCTGACTTTTGAACCACTTGGTGAACATTCTATGTCTTTTATAACCAATTCTTAACCAGATGCAATTAGACATTTAGTTAGCACTTTGTAAAATTCCTGACAGATCATGAGTAAAAAGTATGGGGACAGTTAAAGACACACTGGTACAACAAGGTGATTTATAAAAAAAAACTCATCTCAATCAGTCATGTTTCTACAGTACCTATCCCTCAGCCTCATTGTAGTCACACATTTGACACATAATTAATCACTCATTAATATGATTCTGTCAAGGGTGCAGTGTAGCTACATTCAAAGTCAGGCCTGAGTATTTGAGTTGGAACCTCACACAAACCTGAAGTATTTACCTGATCAAGAAATACTACCTTGTTGTCTTTAATAGTGACCTTTATAGTATTTTCATAAAGACCTTATGATCTGACTACACGTAGCTCTCTTGAGGTTTGATGATGCCCACATTAACTTCTGTTGACTCTAAACAAATTATCAAAGTTAATGGAGCATCACCACCAGAGATTTCCTAACTTTAATTTTATTTGTTGACATGTTTCAGTTGGCTAGGCTAATTATCCAAGTATCAATTCTCGCAGTGATCCTTAGGAAATATGGCTGCAAAATAAACAATGAAATGGATAATAGAATTACAAGTGCCATAAAGAACTATTTGATAGAGTAAAGAAATCGTGGTCTGTACACTAATTGGCTGTGGAGTTTCTGTACTACATTCTTATCAATGTTTCTAGGGAAAAACATCTTCCATGTCTATATCATAAGCAAATGTTTTCAACACAAAGACATTAAGTGAGATATTTAATAGCATGTAGCTATTAAAAGAGGCATGTTGCATGCTGATATAGGTGGGCAAGCTTACCAGGTATTAGGGGTACTCCTGTGCAAACAGAAGTCATACAAAAAAACAGAACAAATAGGTGAAATGATTGATAGGAAACCACAGTAGAAAACCACAAGGAAATAGGATTACAATTGAAAATCAATAGAATGGATGAAACTGACACCAGTCTTTGTCAAAAGCTCAATGATTTACCACGGTCAGCTGACACTGGACATGTGCACACCTTTGGAAAGTGAGCATTATAGATATCAAAAACATGCTTATCCCTGATCACTGGATGCAGGTGATACAGGACACGGCACTGGCTATTGGCTCTTGGAGGCCCCTACCAACACTATGTGGTTATTATGTCCAGTTTTGATCTGGACATTGGCCAAAATTTGATATTATCTGTGGTCATTGAAGCCTAGGACTGACCACAATAAACATCAACACAGCATATTTCATTACAGAGTGAAATGTGAATGTTTTTACTATCAACAATTGTGATGTAGAGAAAGACAAGTAATGATGGTGACTGTCAGGTAATAGAGGGTTCATATAGGGGACACACGTACAACTGACAGGATGGCAGAATATATCCTCTAAAACAAATTGATTTCTACAATATACTAACATGTATCCTTTAACCCAAATTGATTTCTAATAATCTGATTATGGTTTGATAAAAGATGTCACAGACTTGTGCCAATCTTATGATATCAAGGCTAACATTATTTCTTCTTGATGCTATAAATTTATCTTATCTCAATAAAATGGCAGACATGTTAGGTTGGTAATCAATTAATGTATCTTTGATCATTAAGAGCAAAAACAGAGAGGAGAAAAGAAATGAGGGAAAAGATCCAACTTTCAAAGAGCAAATAAAGATCAAACAATGGTGGGTGCCAAGATCCCTCTGGGATCTCTTGTTAGAGAGGTGGTTAGATAGGCATCTTGATAAAAGATTTTAGACCATTATACACAGGTGGTAATTAGACAGCCAGTTGCTTTTAATAGGTGCATGCATGTCTTTAAGGCAGACTCGAATACATGTTTATCATACAGAAATATCCGATATCAGTGGCCTTTTTGCCCCACAAGGTAAAAAATTATTTATTTCGTAACACCTCAGCATGTTTATGTAATCCTACCATTTCTCACTGTAACCAGTCGGTTTTGATGCATAGGAAAAGATGTAACACTTACTTAAGAAACTATTCATTTACATATAAATGTAACTTGAAATATCCAGATAACACCACAGGTATGGGTCTCTCACGAGGCAGAGAATCAGGACCTCACAGGACTAGTAGTGATGGGTCACTGTCAAGGATTTGGATGACCTGGTTCAAATTCATGAATGTATTTACAATTATTTGTGTATGGTGATTGTATAATGAAAGGAAGAGTATTGAGCTAAGAGACCCAAACATCTACATAGCAATGTATATGTTGGTTATGTAAATGGAGTTTAACATTCATTCTGACATATCAGCATTCTCACATTACCATTGTTCCTATCCATGTCTTACCTTTGATTCCAATGCAGTCACTAAAATTTATAATACCATCGAGAAGGACACCAACAGTAACATATGTAGGTAAATATTAGCTGAGGTGGAGATAAGCAAGCAGTAGAATTAGATGAGACTGTGTGTAGAGTATGGTAACATTGTAATACATAGTAGAATTAGACGAGACTGTGTGTAGAGTATGGTAACATTGTAATACATAGTAGAATTAGACGAGACTGTGTGTAGAGTATGGTAACATTGTAATACATAGTAGAATTAGACGAGACTGTGTGTAAGTAGAGTGTGGTAACATGTGTGTAATACATTGTAATACATAGTAGAATTAGACGAGACTGTGTGTAGAGTATGGTAACATTGTAATACACAGTAGAATTAGACGAGACTGGAAGTAGAGTGTGGTAACATTGTAATACACAGTAAAATTAGACGAGACTGGAAGTAGAGTGTGGTAACATTGTAATACACAGTAGAATTAGACGAGACTGTAAGTAGAGTGTGATAACATTGTAATACACAGTAGAATTAGACGAGACTGGAAGTAGAGTGTGGTAACATTGTAATACACAGTAGAATTAGACGAGACTGGAAGTAGAGTGTGGTAACATTGTAATACACAGTAGAATTAGACGAGACTGGAAGTAGAGTGTGGTAACATTGTAATACACATTAGAATTAGACGAGACTGTGTGTAGAATGTGGTAACATTGTAATACACAGTAGAATCAGATGAGACTGTGTGTAGAGTATGGAAACATTGTAATACACAGTAGAGTAAAAGTAGAGTAGCAGTAACACCATTGCCACAGCGCTATAACATATACCATGTATCAGCATTTCTGATTCCTTCTTTAAACACTTGCCTACATTTTGCCCCTAAAGGCTAAAATAAGTGACAAAGTGGAATCCTCAATCACCTGTTAAATCAATCATTTAAGTAGAATTACATGGTGTAAACACCTGTACAATGTTACTTTGATGTGAATTTTCTTACATAAACCTAGTGCACTTGAAAATTGAGTGAATTTTGGCATATTAAAAAAACCCTGAATTGATCACATCAACGGCTGTACTTATCTCCATTTGTAAAATTGTATATCAGTACTATATGCATTACAAAGGAAAAGAATTACAGTGGAACATGTAATAGACCTAGCAAAGAGGGGCTGTTATGTCAGTGTCACAGATAAGATATACAGGTTGTGCTTTTTGACATGTGACATGCATCTGTCATCAATGACCACACCCAAGTGTTAATACAAGGTAAACACATGTTCATATGGCCATAATTAGCACTACTAGGACCTACTTACCTACCACATGTAGGTACATAATAAATCTACCTGTGGATATATAGCGTCTCACCTGTAGCTCACAGCTGTACGACTCAAAATTTCTTATTTCATATGTCAAGCAAAAAGCATTAATAAAACTATATCATCGAGATTTCATGTTACGTTTGGAAATCTGTATTTTTAAATAGTTGATCTTCGTTAGCTTCCTTGTGGTATTTGGCCTCCTAAAGTCCACTGTCTATTATTTGATCGCCTTGTAATAAGTCCAGTTCTACCATGTCCACAAACTGATCACCTGGTGTGTGATATCCTTGCTATGTTTTATGTTACAGTCATATCTCTACAAAGTGGTACACTATGTCTTTTGTATGATGAACTATTTCAATATGGGTACTAGGATCAGTCCCCATCATTATAATCTTGGATCAAATAGTGCGTCTTGGTTATGATTTTGTATTCTTGATCTAACTCCTGTCATAGGAACTAGGATCAATCACCACCATTATAATAGTGTTACTAGAAACCAACCTCTACCATGATTATTTAATGGTATGTTTAGATTTTACTCTGTGGTATGTAATGGTATGTTTAGATTTTGCTCTGTGGTAGGTAATGGTATGATTAGATTTTGCTCTGTGGTAGATAATGGTATGTGTAGATTTTGCTCAGTGGTAGATAATGGTATTTGACTATGGAACTTGGATGCTTGGGGTTTATTCATATCATTGATATATATGGTCTTCATTGTAATACCATATGTATTTATCTTTCCATCACTTATATTCCATGTTGAAGTCATTTTTCTGTGTTGTCAAAAAGTTAAATTATATCAACTCAGTAGTAAACAGTTATGTTAAATGGAAAATTCTTTGCAAATTTATATGAAATCATTGTTTTTACTGTTTTTTAGGAGTGAGTTATGTCCAGTGTAAAGAGTACAAAGGTTCGCCTCCCAAACAAAAGGTATGTACCAGTAATTATTACAATACAGCTACAAAAAGCATGCAACACGATGTGACTTTGTTAGAAAGCATGCAACACCATGTGACTTTTGTCAGAAAGCATGCAACACCATGTGACTTTGTTAGAAAGCATGCAACACCATGTGACTTTGACAGAAAGCATGCTACATCATGTGACTTTGACAGAAAGCATGCTACATCATGTGACTTTGACAGAAAGCATGCTACATCATATGACTTTGACAGAAAGCATGCAACACCATGTGACTTTGACAGAAAGCATGCAACACCATGTGACATTGACAAAAAGTATGCTACACCATGTGACTTTGTCAGAAAACTTTTAACACCATGTGACTTTGTTAGAAAGCATGCTACACCATGTGACTTTGTTAGAAAGCATGCTACACCATGTGACTTTGTTAGAAAGCATGAAACACCATGTGACATTGACAAAAAGCATGTTACACCATGTGACTTTTTAGAAAGCATGCAACACCATGTGACTTTGTCAAAAAGCATGCAACATTATGTGTCAGTGACAAGGCATTTAACAAAAAGTATATAATATTATGTGTCTGTCAGAAAGCATGCAACACCATTTGACAGTGATAGAAAGCAAGTAACATTATGTGTCACTGACTTTGTCAGAAAGCAAGCAACACCATTTGACAGTGATAGAAAGCAAGTAACATTATGTGTCAGTGACAAGACGTGATAAAGAAGGGTTGCAACACCATGTGACATTGACAAAAAGCATTCAGTGCCATGTGACATTGACAGAAAGCATCCAACACCATGTGACATTGACAAAAAGCATTCAGTGCCATGTAACAGTGAAAGAAAGCATGCAACATTATGAGGCTGTGACAGAAAATATGCAGTACCAAGTGACAGAGTTTAGTGTATTGTCTGAGATTTATAGTGTGAAACTGTGTTGTAGGACATTTCTATCTGTCTCTCCCTACAAATGTCAAAATGCAAAACTGTAAAAAGGGGCCTGCTGATGTTTTACTACACTATGTAAGTTATTATGTTAATGAAAGGACCAGTGTAATCTTATTCATATAAAAGTTTAAACGACCTCATCTCATTATTTTAAGATTTATACTGTGTTTCTTTTTTATGTCTTTTTCAGTCGAGGTGTCCAAACAAACATTTTAATATCACAGACTTTAAAACACTCTTTGTCATGAGAATGACAATTATTGTATGCACACCAAGGAGGCTTGCCATTCAATACACTGTATGATCATGAAAATGCAAATGTATTTTTATATAGCTTATTTATTGTGAACAACACCATACAGTCGGTGCTAACTACAAACGTAATTGAGTAGCATTTGAAATTGAAAATATTAAAACAGGTGTGTTTCCTGACATATTATCTGAGTATGTAGACTGTAATGAGATGTCATAGGCCAACAAATGTCATCAGGAACACTGTTGAGATGGTGTTGTCTAACTTTGGGTTTTATTTATAGCGTTAGCTTCCATTTGTGTGGCCAGTCCTGTCACAAACCAGCATGTTTATAGTCCTAACATGTAACCCACACCTACAGAGTAGATACAGATACTCCACACAAAACATGATAGTATAAATACCATGGTCTACAGTATTAATTCTTTGAGAAGCTTAAATCTATTGTTATCTTAACATCAAAAATATTTGAGCAATTTTTTTTTTTCTGATATCATGAAGGAGAATCATTGTAGAGTTCTGTAGAGATCTTGTGGCTTTGATTTTTACTTGAGTTCATATGATGCCTGTAAACCTGTTTTTATAAACACCTTTAGAGATTTTGTCCATCAATTTATTAATCCATGAATATTTATTTACCTTGCCTGCAGTATGTTGGCTAGTCAATAGATTTAAATGAAACTTCATACAGATCTTCTTTGCAGGACATTCTCAGGCTAACTTTAAATCAAAGGTCATACATTTTCAAGGTCCTGTGCTGGCAGTATATGTCATACTTACTGTTTTTAAGGATAGTATTATTACCTTTAAGTTGTATATGGCTGCTGAGTTAAACATCATGAGGTTGTATATAGCTCCTGAGTTAAACATCATGAGGTTGTATATAGCTCCTGAGTTAAACATTATGAAGTTATATATAGCTCCTGAGTTAAACATTATGAAGTTGTATGGCTCCTGAGATAAACATTATGAGGTTGTATGTTGCTCCCGAGTAAAACATTATGAAGTTGTATATAGCTCCTGAGTTAAACATTATCAAGTTGTATATGGCTCCTGAGATAAACATTATCAAGTTGTATGTTGCTCCTGAGTTAAACATTATGAGGTTGTATGTTGCTCCCAAGTAAAACATTATAAAGTTGTATATAGCTCCCGAGTTAAACATTATCAAGTTTTCTTGCTCCTGAGTTAAACATTATGAGGTTGTATGTTGCTCCCGAGTTAAACATTATGAGGTTGTATGTTACTCCTGAGTTAAACATTATGAGGTTTAACATTATGTTGTATGGCTCCCGAGTTAAACATTATCACGTTGTATATAGCTCCTGAGTTAAACATTATGAGGTTTAACATTATGAGGTTGTATGTTGCTCCTGAGTTAAACATTATGAGGTTTAACATTATGAGGTTGTATGGCTCCTGAGTGAAACATTATCACGTTGTATGGCTCCTGAGATAAACATTATCAAGTTGTATATGGCTCCTGAGATAAACATTATCAAGTTGTATGTTGCTCCTGAGTTAAACATTATGAGGTTGTATGTTGCTCCCAAGTAAAACATTATAAAGTTGTATATAGCTCCCGAGTTAAACATTATCAAGTTTTCTTGCTCCTGAGTTAAACATTATGAGGTTGTATGTTGCTCCCGAGTTAAACATTATGAGGTTGTATGTTACTCCTGAGTTAAACATTATGAGGTTTAACATTATGAGGTTGTATGGCTCCCGAGTTAAACATTATCACGTTGTATATAGCTCCTGAGTTAAACATTATGAGGTTTAACATTATGAGGTTGTATGTTGCTCCTGAGTTAAACATTATGAGGTTTAACATTATGAGGTTGTATGGCTCCTGAGTTAAACATTATCACGTTGTATGGCTCCTGAGATAAACATTATGAGGTTGTATGTTGCTCCTGAGTTAAACATTATGAGGTTGTATGTTGCTCCTGAGTTAAACATTATGAGGTTGTATATACATTAAACATCATGAGGTTGTATATAGCTCCTGAGTTAAACATTATGAGGTTGTATATAGCTCCTGAGTTAAACATTATGAGGTTTAACATTATGAGGTTGTTATGGCTCCTGAGATAAACATTATGAGGTTGTATGTTGCTCCTGAGTTAAACATTATGAGGTTGTATGTTGCTCCTGAGTTAAACATTATGAGGTTGTATATAGCTGCTGAGTTAAACATCATGAGGTTGTATATAGCTCCTGAGTTAAACATTATGAGGTTGTATATAGCTCCTGAGTTAAACATTATGAACATTATCTCCTGAATAAACATTATGTTGTATGTTGCTCCTGAGTTAAACATTATGAGGTTGTATATAGCTGCTGAGTTAAACATTATCAAGTTGTATATGGCTCCTGAGATAAACATTATCAAGTTGTATGTTGCTCTTGAGTTAAACATTATCAAGTTGTATGGCTCCTGAGTTAAACATTATCAAGTTTTGTATGGCTCCTGTTAAACATTATCAAGTTGTATGGCTCCTGTTAAACATTATCAAGTTGTATGGCTCCTGAGTTAAACATTGTCAAGTTGTATATGGCTCCTGAGTTAAACATTATCAAGTTTTGTATGGCTCCTGAGTTAAACATTATCAAGTTTTGTATGGCTCCTGAGTTAAACATTATCAAGTTTTGTATGGCTCCTGAGTTAAACATTATCAAGTTTTGTATGGCTCCTGAGTTAAACATTATCAAGTTGTATGGCTCCTGAGTTAAACATTATCAAGTTGTATGTTGCTCCTGAGTTAAACATTATCACGTTGTATGGCTCCTGAGTTATGCATTTCACAAGAGGTCATAAGATAATATTGTTTTCATAATTTTCTGTGAATCTGCATTTTCAATCATTTACAATACACTTCATATTTTCTTCCCTATATATCAGACCATTTTTTTTACTGATGTACACACTAAAAATCATTTGTGTATTTGGCTAGTTTACTTGCGAGACAATTTCTGTGACAGACAAAATAATGCTTTGTATATGTGACAGACTGAAAACTGTTACGTTTGTTTAACTACTCTACTATTTCTGTAACAGAATTTTATGATCTTTGATTTTAAGGAAGGAGTCAGATCTGACAATCTGAATGACAAACACAATAGAAAGACCATATATTTATAGATGTAAATGAGGTGAATGACCATGCTTTTTTGTGGTGAGGTTTATTTATTGCAGGTTTACGTCATGAGAAAAGTCTGAAAACTGCATGATCCTGGTATAAATCTGTCATAATACTGCTTCATGAGTAAGATCAAAAGGGAGTTTATTTTTGTTATACGTAGCATTCTGTGTTGTAGCTCCTCCAGCACTAACAAATCTGGTTGTATGTATTTATATAGAAAACTGTACCCTTGTTTGTGAAGTGTTTCATTCTGGTCTGATTGAAATCAAACCTGTTCAACAGGACTCCTTGATACATTCCTTCGCTAGTAAAGGTAGAACTTGGGCATACCTAAACACCACAACACAACACGTAGAGCTCGTATAGAATGTCGTAACATAACAATGATATATGACAGTTTATGGGTAGAGTTTTGAAATTTTTTTAACTTGAATTTCATGTAATTTATTCTTGTTTGTTGTTCAGAAATGTTTCACAATAACAACTAAATATATCAGATACCCTTTTATATCATGTTGCTTAGTGTTGAATTTCTGGTTAGGGAATGTTGTTCTAAAAGTTTTATTATCTCATTTATTGATGTAATTCAGATGATTTTTCATAATCTTTATTAGAGGCATATCTACCCATATGCATAAATTCAGAAAAATAAATATGAATAGAGAGTGGAGATTTTTAAGACAAGGATAGAACGGTATTTGTAAAAATAATTCATTTATGTGTACATACATTTTCTCTTTACTAAATATGTTTTCTTTTACGGTGACATTATCTTTCTGTTTATAGCAAGTTTCATTTTATATAACAGTTTTTCTCCTGTTCATAGCATGAAAATAGGATGTCTTTGTCACTGTTAAGGTGGCTCATTAAGTCACAGCAGGTTCATTGAATCACAGGTTCATTATTTCATAAATTGTTGAGTGAGAGACTTACGTGGTCACAGACTCAATGCTCAAGGCTCATCCTATCCAAGATATATGATTATATGTCCCTAGTATGTCACATGCTCATTAACTCACATGCTCATAGAGTCATAGATATAATTTACACTGGAAGAAAAATTTCCTACAATAATGTTTTGTCTATATCTTTTCCAGTTGCCACAGACCAATGGAGGGAAGGACACATCTAAGAAATACTGGGTATCTTTGCCATCAGGGAATGCATCAGGTCTAAAGAGAAATGGGTCTGTGGGCTCACTCGATGATGGGCTCATGTCAATGGTAAGGACAATGTCAGATAAGTATGTGTCTGTGGGCTCACTCGATGATGGGCTCATGTCAATGGTAAGGACAATGTCAGATAAGTATGTGTCTGTGGGCTCACTCGATGATGGGCTCATGTCAATGGTAAGGACAATGTCAGATAAGTATGTGTCTGTGGGCTCACTCGATGATGGGCTCATGTCAATGGTAAGGACAATGTCAGATAAGTATGTGTCTGTGGGCTCACTCGATGATGGGCTCATGTCAATGGTAAGGACAATGTCAGATAAGTATGTGTCTGTGGGCTCACTCGATGATGGGCTCATGTCAATGGTAAGGACAATGTCAGATAAGTATGTGTCTGTGGGCTCACTCGATGATGGGCTCATGTCAATGGTAAGGACAATGTCAGATAAGTATGTGTCTGTGGGCTCACTCGATGATGGGCTCATGTCAATGGTAAGGACAATGTCAGATAAGTATGTGTCTGTGGGCTCACTCGATGATGGGCTCATGTCAATGGTAAGGACAATGTCAGATAAGTATGTGTCTGTGGGCTCACTCGATGATGGGCTCATGTCAATGGTAAGGACAATGTCAGATAAGTATGTGTCTGTGGGCTCACTCGATGATGGGCTCATGTCTATGATAAGGACAATGTCAGATAAGTATGTGTCTGTGGGCTCACTCGATGATGGACTCATGTCTATGGTAAGGACAATGTCAGATAAGTATGTGTCTGTGGGCTCACTCGATGATGGGCTCATGTCAATGGTAAGGACAATGTCAGATAAGTATGTGTCTGTGGGCTCACTCGATGATGGGCTCATGGCAATGGTAAGGTCAATGTCAGATAAGTATGTGTCTGTGGGCTCACTCGATGATGGGCTCGTGTCATTGGTAAGGACAATGTCAGATAAGTATGTGTCTGTGGGCTCCCTTGATGATGGGCTCATGTCTATGTTACGGTCATTGTCAGATAAGTATGTGTCTGTGGGCTCACTCGATGATGGGCTCATGGCAATGGTAAGGACAATGTCAGATAAGTATGTGTCTGTGGGCTCACTCGATTATGGGCTCATGTCTATGTCATTGTCAGATAAGTATGTGTCTGTGGGCTCACTCGATGATGGGCTCATGGCAATGGTAAGGTCAATGTCAGATAAGTATGTGTCTGTGGGCTCCCTTGATGATGGGCTCATTTCTATGTTACGGTCATTGTCAGATAAGTATGTGTCTGTGGGCTCACTCGATGATGGGCTCATGTCATTGGTAAGGTCAATGTCAGATAAGTATGTGTCTGTGGGCTCACTCGATGATGGGCTCATGTCTATGGTAAGGACAATGTCAGATAAGTATGTGTCTGTGGGCTCACTCGATGATGGGCTCATGTCAATGGTAAGGACAATGTCAGATAAGTATGTGTCTGTGGGCTCACTCGATGATGGGCTCGTGTCATTGGTAAGGTCAATGTCAGATAAGTATGTGTCTGTGGGCTCACTCGATGGTGAGCTCATGTCAATGGTAAGGTCATTGTCTGATAAGTATGTGTTTGTGGGCTCACTCGATGATGGCCTCATGTCAAAGATAAGGTCATTGTCAGATAAGTTCGTGAAGACCAAAGTCAGAATCAAATGATATAGAATATGTTGTAAGGTTAGCATCAACTCAATGATTGTATTTCATTGAGCTAATCATGAAATTTTGTATCCATTCTGCTGCAACAGAGTTAAGGTAGGGGTGTAAACTGGACATACTTGTCTGTCCATCTGCCTATAGACGATGGAGTGAGTGTCCTTTTACTTGATAGTGTAGATAAATGTATTCCACTGACTTTGGTTCAGAGATGATGTGTCAACCCTCTGATTATATTGTCCTGTAATAAGTCCGCCCCACTGACTTTGATTCAGAGATGATGTGTCAGCCCTCTGGTTATATTGTCCTGTAATAAGCCCACCCCACTGACTTTGATTCAGAGATAATGTGTCAGCCCTGTAGGTTTATTGTCCTGTGATAAGCCTAACCCAATGACTTCAGTCCAGAGATGATGAGTCAGCCCTCTGGTTATATTGTCCTGTAATAAGCCCACCCCACTGAGTTTGATTCGGAGATAATGTGTCAGCCCTGTGGGTTTACTTTCCTGTGATAAGCCCACCCCACTGATTTTGATCCAGAGACAATGTGTCAGCCCTGTGGGTTTACTTTCCTTTGATAAGCCCACCCAACAGACTTTAGTCCAGAGATAAATTGTCTGCTCTCTGAGTTTATTGTATAAACATGATGTTGGTGGTGGGGACACCCACTGTGACAGAAGTGAGATCAGGACTATCAATCTCTGTCCTAAACTGCTGTATACACACACCCCACACTCTTCGCCCTGGTATTTAAAATTGACCGATGACCAAGCCTTCACTGACCATCCTTGACCATTAAATGACCCAACAATTATTACCTATAATGTGCCATTGCCTATTTTACACTGAGACCATACCTTTTACTATATCGGTTACAGGTAAAATGAAACCTAACTTTGATGAGTTCATTCCTATTATTTGTTGTCAGGATTTCTTAACTTGTTTTAATTGATAAATTTAAATCTACTGAGTTTTGTATTTTGAGGACACTGGCAATTTACTTACGTATAATTCCCTTTTCATTTGCATCAGATTAGAGTCTACAGTCAAATATTTGCACCGAGTCACTTTAAAAGGTCGAGTCGCACCAAATATGTGGCTACAATAGGTCGACAGATATTAACTGTTTGTACAAATCTCTGCTGACATGCTCAATGATTTGTGGCGCCAGAAAGTGATCATTCTGCCAGAAAATTGCTAAAATTCTTAGCACCTGATTGGGCAAGCATAAAAGTTAACGAGCAGGAAGGAAGTCTAACCACATAAACAGGCTTCTAATGGTTGACCAGGTCTTTAACAAATTCAGCTGTTCAAACTGACCAGATTTTTTCAAGTATAAAACGTTTTGTTTTCATAATATGAAATCTTTTACTAATTTTCATTGTGTATTTTTTTCCTGATAATTCCAAGATAAAAGAACCTTGATGAATTTCATACAAAGGAGATAATGCTTAAGTGATGTAACAACTTATAGTGTAAGCCCTATAACCAGGAATATTACAACTTATAGTGTAAGCCCTATAACCAGTAATATTACAACTTATAGTGTAAGCCCTATAACCAGTAATATTACAACTTATAGTGTAAGCCCAATAAAACCAGTAATATTACAACTTATAGTGTAAGCCCTATAACCAGGAATATTACAACTTATAGTGTAAGCCCTATAACCAGGAATATTACAACTTATAGTGTAAGCCCTATAACCAGGAATATTACAACTTACAGTGTAAGCCCTATAACCAGTAATATTACAACTTATAGTGTAAGCCCTATAACCAGTAATATTACAACTTATAGTGTAAGCCCTATAACCAGGAATATTACAACTTACAGTGTAAGCCCTATAACCAGTAATATTACAACTTATAGTGTAAGCCCTATAACCAGTAATATTACAACTTATAGTGTAAGCCCTATAACCAGTAATATTACAACTTATAGTGTAAGCCCTATAACCAGTAATATTAAAACTTATAGTGTAAGCCCTATAACCAGTAATATTACAACTTAAAGTGTAAGCCCAATAACCAGTTATATTACAACTTATAGTGTAAGCCCTATAACCAGTAATATTACAACTTATAGTGTAAGCCCTATAACCAGTAATATTACAACTTATAGTGTAAGCCCTATAACCAGTAATATTACAACTTATAGTGTAAGCCCTATAACCAGTAATATTACAACTTATAGTGTAAGCCCTATAACCAGTAATATTACAACTTAAAGTGTAAGCCCAATAACCAGTTATATTACAACTTATAGTGTAAGCCCTATAACCAGTTATATTACAACTTAAAGTGTAAGCCCAATAAAACCAGTAATATTACAACTTATAGTGTAAGCCCTATAACCAGTAATATTACAACTTAAAGTGTAAGCCCAATAAAACCAGTAATATTACAACTTACAGTGTAAGCCCTATAACCAGTTATATTACAACTTAAAGTGTAAGCCCAATAAAACCAGTAATATTACAACTTATAGTGTAAGCCCTATAACCAGTTATATTACAACTTAAAGTGTAAGCCCAATAAAACCAGTAATATTACAACTTACAGTGTAAGCCCTATAACCAGTAATATTACAACTTATAGTGTAAGCCCTATAACCAGTAATATTACAACTTATAGTGTAAGCCCTATAACCAGTAATATTACAACTTATAGTGTAAGCCCTATAACCAGTAATATTACAACTTATAGTGTAAGCCCTATAACCAGTAATATTACAACTTATAGTGTAAGCCCTATAACCAGTAATATTACAACTTATAGTGTAAGCCCAATAAAACCAGTAATATTACAACTTACAGTGTAAGCCCTATAACCAGTAATATTACAACTTATAGTGTAAGCCCTATAACCAGTAATATTACAACTTATAGTGTAAGCCCTATAACCAGGAATATTACAACTTATAGTGTAAGCCCTATAACCAGTAATATTACAACTTATAGTGTAAGCCCTATAACCAGTAATATTACAACTTATAGTGTAAGCCCTATAACCAGTAATATTACAACTTATAGTGTAAGCCCTATAACCAGTAATATTACAACTTATAGTGTAAGCCCAATAAAACCAGTAATATTACAACTTACAGTGTAAGCCCTATAACCAGTAATACAACTTATAGTGTAAGCCCTATAACCAGGAATATTACAACTTATAGTGTAAGCCCTATAACCAGTAATATTACAACTTATAGTGTAAGCCCTATAACCAGTAATATTACAACTTATAGTGTAAGCCCTATAACCAGTAATATTACAACTTATAGTGTAAGCCCAATAAAACCAGTAATATTACAACTTATAGTGTAAGCCCTATAACCAGGAATATTACAACTTACAGTGTAAGCCCTATAACCAGTAATATTACAACTTATAGTGTAAGCCCTATAACCAGTAATATTACAACTTATAGTGTAAGCCCTATAACCAGTAATATTACAACTTATAGTGTAAGCCCTATAACCAGTAATATTACAACTTATAGTGTAAGCCCTATAACCAGAAATATTACAACTTACAGAAAAAGCCCTTAACCACAGGAGCATTTTTAGGTGTCATATAATGACTTATAATAGGATGGGTTTTCATTTAGCTTACAACCAGTTAAGATATAAAACCAATGATATTGTTTAATAGTAACCCAAGCACATCCTTAGAAAATACTTCATCATAAATAGGCATACTTAAACAACTAGTTTATATGTTGACTGTCTCCAAAAGCTATAAAACCTTCTCACACTTATATCTTAAAACAGTATAATTTCTACCTATGTGAATCAATGATGTTGGGCTGATTAGGTGTCTGACGTGATTCGTACGTGGTGTGATCATCAGTGTCTAAAATTAGGATGAAAAATTAGGGAGGGTTGAAAGAATGAATGTTATCTCTTGTAGGAACGATTCTCAGATTAATGTGTTAATATTACAGGTAGTGTATATCTTGTTAAATATATAGACATAGTTGACAGTTTATAGTCCTCAGTATGGCAGGAGAAACCTACAGACACTTTGAGAATATTAACCTTTGTTTACTGTAGTGAAATCTGCAACAGTTTAATGAAATTAAACATTTATACATGACAAAAATATCCACTTTTCCTGAAACTGCATGTACATTTGAAAGTTTCCAGTGTTAAATCTTGATGAATCTTTGAAACTTTGGGGACATACACACTTATATATATATAAGTCCTGTGGCTAGGATTGTGTTAACATGTGATTAAGTATTATAAAGATTCATTCAGGTATGTTAAAAGTACAATAACAGGAAATACCTGTTCACTACAGTAATATAACGAGTATACACCTGTTTGTAACACTGATAAACCTCCTATAAATCATAAACATTACCTGTTTTCTAATCTGTATGTGATGTGTCAGGTAAACGTACTACCTACAAAGACTTACTCAAAGTTATCTGTGTTCTCCCTGTCTTTGTTATCATTTTACGGACATACAGAACCGTTTGATACACTCAGAACAGTTTTACTGATTTTTCTGGACAGAAATATGAACTCGAAAATCATACACCTCCTGAAAATAAAAACAAACAAAGATCATCTACACTAATTAAATAAGGATTAAGTTTGTTAAAACGACAAAGTACCGGGTATATATGATACATGTGGCTTGACCACTGATACTTTCCAGTATATATTTGATTGTCAGTACAGATACATATAATGTACTTTGATCAACCTGCTGTGAAAGTTATCTTTTGGTAACAAACACCTGTCAATAAAAGCCACATATGTGTAACAAACACCTGTCTATAAATGTCACATATGTGTAACAAACACCTGTCTATAAAGGTCACATATGTGTAACAAACACCTGTCTATAAAGGTCACATATGTGTAACAAACACCTGTCTATAAAGGTCACATATGTGTAACAAACATCTGTCAATAAAAGCCACATATGTGTAACAAACACCTGTCTATAAAGGTCACATCTGCATAACAAAGACCTGCCAATAGCAGTCACAACTGTATTACAAATACCTGTCAATAAAGGTCACATCTATATAACAAACACCTGTCTATATAGGCCACATCTATATTACAAACACCTGTCTATATAGACAACATGTTTATCACAAATACCTTTCTTTGAAGAACTTGCCTCCTGTATATAACAAATACTTGTCAATAAAGACTTAAGGTCGCAATATAACGTACCAATAATTCATAGTAATTGAATCTACATATAGGCCACCTGTCTATAGAGGTCTTGCTGCCCTGCTTCGTTGAGTGAACTTTGTGGGATCAACTGCATATTTTCTGTTTTATCATAGTTTTCAGAAAGGACCAGTGAATGATGGATTGATTGAAATGATCATATGGTCAGAGTATTTATAATAATGATGTTTATCTTTTGCTTGTCCACAGGATCCAGAAGTGACCAGTGTATGGCTACAAAGCCAGGACTTCATTGGTTTAGGGTTTAACATTGCTGGCAGCATGAGGGATGGAATCTTTGTCAGTCAAGTCCATAATAGAGGCCCTGCCATCGAGTCAGGAAAATTCAAAGTTGGTAAGTGAAATTCTACATTGGTCAATTCTAATGATACATGCTTGAGCATGATGGAATTCTGGTGGTGATACCAGTATCTACATCACATTGGAGTATGGGGCGAACAGGTGACATTAGACAGGAAGGAGGCTGTGACTCGGAATGAAATAAAATATTAATTACCAATGTCTTGTATTTTTTACCTTAGTCTGTGAGGTACAAAAATGCCCAGAAATGTAGGTTGAATCATAAAGTATTATTTTTGTAACTATTGAAACCTCTATCACTGTATTTATCCAGTAGTAATCCCTGCTTGGTGATAAGCACAGCAGCATATCTTGCTGTTCATCAAATCTGTAAACTAAAGTCTAACCCTTTGTCCTTTATGGCCCCTGAAATCTCCTATGTCTGAAATCAAATACAGAGTGTTAAAGTACCCCCACAATCAATTCTCACACAAATTGATGCAAAGTTCTATACCACCTGGAATTTAGAGATTTATAGTTGATGAACATCCAAATTGAATGTTTACAACAAAATGTATCATCTATATATTGTATTACTTATATTTGTAAAAGATTTGTGTCCTTAAAACATTTACCTGATTTTGTTTTCACAGGAGACCGCATTCAAAGCGTGACCATCTCATTTGCTAACATGGTTTTTGAGGATGCCCTGACCATCTTAAGTTATGCCTCCCCGTACCCTGTCAAAGTCACCTTACAGAAGGAACACCAGCATCAGAAGAACCGCCGTCTCAGTGACCATAGCACACGCCTGGCTCACCCGTTATATCGAAGCCAATCAGTAGACACTTTACTGAAGATCAACCGCCAGGCAAAAGTGACTCCTAAAAGAAGTTTTAGTGAAATGAGATCGGAGACTCGAACAAATCCTTCTCCTAAGAAAAATGTCCTACATGTTAAACAGACTAGTGTTCCAGAAGAAGTCAGACCAAGTCCGATATTAGCTACGGAGATTCCACAAATCAAAGTTATACCTGCCAAGAATATCAATTTAAATCAAGCTGTGGCTCAGTCAGATGTAGTAGTTCACAAAGTGGATGATTTCAATGTTGAAACTGAAACAGAAAATGTGCAATTAAGGAATAAAGACAATAAAAAGCTTACCCCCGCAGTTAAATTTGTTATGCAAGAAAAGCCGACAGATTCACTGGTAACTCCTGGACCAGTAGCACCTGCTAATGATAACACAGACACTGAGGCTGCCCGTGATTTTGTGGAAGTATTCGATACATTAAACGAGGAAGATAAACTGGATATGCTACGGTTAAGTTATGAAGACCCAGACACAAGTGCTAATGAAAGCCTAGTAATACCAACAAATGAAACAAAAACGGAGATTTCTCTGCCTCAATTTGAAATCAAGACGGATTCTCCAGGATTAAATACAGATTATGTAAATGTAGAATTGAGGTCTCCCCCTCCCACAAAGCCAGAACGCAGGAAAAAGAAAAACTCCACTGAGGATGGTGATGATCCAGGAACACCACAAGACTTCAGTGAAATTCCTCTAGAACTGTCTAATGATGACATCATTCCTACCATCTCCATAGTGTCGCAGAGTCAGCCAATCAACACACAGGAGGTCTCTGAGGATTTTATTGTTGCAAAAAAACATGCTAGAGATACAAATATTGGTTCTCCGAACTTCGAGCTATCTCCTATTGTAGCCACCTGTGAGGAGGTCCCTGAAATGGCTGTGTCCAGTAAGCTTCCACCAGACCTTGGACCACCCCCTCCTATCCCTCAGGAGGAAGGGGAGGATAGTGGTGGTGACTGTAGTCGTACCCTTGTGGATTACAGCCTCTCAGATATGGAAAGCACACTGACACGACCTCGCAGTCCAGAAGTAAATGTTGAGGAGGATCTTATCATGCCTCAGTTTTTGTCCAAGGAGCCACTTGAGTCGGTGATGCCACGTCTCTTTTCCTCAGCAGACAGTTTACCGTCCGATCAACGCCACTTGCAGGATTCAGGTAGTGATGATGACGACAGTTCATCGGAGAACAAAGATACAATAGTGGAGATGGAAAACAACTCCTCACCTATTGACCTCAGCTTTAACATGACCTCTGATCCCAGCTTGTTTTCTACACCATTTCCAAAGAGAAACACCAAGGAGACGCAAAGTGGCATGGCTTATGATATCTCGGTGCAGGAATTAGATGTCATTGAATCAGAAAAGAAGAAAAAGTTGCATCCTTCTGGGGATCCTAAAGGAGGAATAGCCTATGTGATCAGGGATGATGTTGTAAGTGGTGTACAGAGGACAATTAACTATGACCACAGCACAGTATCTAAATCAATGTCATATGCTGGGACAGAGCACTCATCACTAGAGCACAAACAACACACAGGTTCTCTGAAAGACATCAACAAAGCATCAGATGAAGAGGAGAGTGATCTGGATTGGTCAGGAAAAAGATTGGTTCGATCAGAACTATTCTCAGACATTCCTCAGAATGATTCTGTCAGTGATTGGACAGAACAAAAACTGGATGACGAAAGTACTTTGGTATTACAGAGTTCTTACCAGGACAATAGTGTGACTTCCTCAGAGGAAAATTTAAATGACATTGATAACCCCAGACTGATGAGGGCAAATATATTCAGGGCAAGAGAAAATCTTGCAAACTTGTCAGATAATTCTGATTCTATGATTCTGACATCAGAATCGGCCAGTCACAGTGAAAGTTCTACCCCTCCTCCACCGTACACTACAGCAAATGGGGAAAATGATGTTGCCATCTCACCAGAAACAACACCCACCAAAACACCATACAACCTCATGGATGTTCACAATGAACAATCCATCAGTACTGACCTGGAAAACAATGAGGTCATTACCAATGTAATCACATCAAAGTATGACGTGTCTGGTAATGGTGGTTTCAATGTCGCACTGAATACCTCAGCTGAGGACAAGGATGACACAGACTGCTAGCTAAGGTGTAGACTACAGAAACACCACTATGTTACGGGTCAAAATTATGGTGAAAATATCACTGTTTCACTACAGGTGAATAATGGGGTCATGGCCAGTTTTACTGCTGCTGCCTTGGGGGCCAAGGTAATTGTTTAGTGTACTGTCTACTAAGGTTTGTGCTATATTACAGCAGCTTTTAAGAAGATTTAAGATGTTTAGTGGTTATACTACTGACAGTAGGAGTCAAGGTCAGAGTCAATGCTGCTACAGGTACCTAGGGGTCAAGGTTAGATGTGACTGTCTATGGCTCATGGTAACCTGTATTTATAAAGTTACAAGAATGAAGTGTGTTCAATAGGTCATGTACATAGACCTTCTACCTCTGTGATGTTATTTTTGACATAATGCCTCATATTTTTCATATTTCTAAGGACAAAACTAATGCCATTCTCATGATAACATAAACCATACTGTATGTGGTAACCCTACAGGATGTGGTAACCATACAGTATGTGGTAACAATACAGGATGTGGGAACCATACAGTATGTGTTAACCATACAGGATGTGGTAACCATACAGTATGTGGTAACCCTACAATATATGGTAACCATATAGTATGTGGTAACCAAACAGGATGTGGTAACCAAACAGGATGTGGTAACAATACAGGATGTGGTAATCATACTGTATCTGGTAACCATACAGTATTTGGTAACCATACAGGATGTGGTAACCATACAGTATATGGTAACCATAAAGTATGTGGTAACCATACAGGATGTGGTAACCATACTGTATGTGGTAACCAAACAGGATGTGGTAACCATACAGTATGTGGTAACCATACTGTATGTGAAATATTCCTACTTGTGTATTCACTGCCTTCATCATTCATTAATCATCACACACTCTGTGACATGTGACATACCTATTCTTAAATACTAGTACATGTAGTTGTTAGATCAGGCTGATCAAAAATTGTGTTGGTCTGAACAAATGTGTCTAACTGAATTCTGTACAGGTTGTTGTCTGAATTGACCATTATTTGATCTGACATTGTAAACATACAGGTATATTCCTATAGTACATACAGGTATAGGATTCCTATAGCATACAGGTATAGGATTTCTGTAGTACATACAGGTATAGGATTCCTATAGTACATACAGGTATAGGATTCCTATAGTACATACAGGTATATTCCTATAGTACCTACAGGTATAGGTTCCTATAGTACATACAGGTATAGGATTCCTATAGTTCATACAGGTATAGGATTCTTAGTATCGTATGTGGACGTTGTGATTTAGTTTAATTTACACAATATCTATGTCTGCCATATTTCATTAGAATGTGAGGTCTCTATAATGATGTACTTACTTCGGCCAAATCTTATGAAATATCTGGTTTTTATCTGTGGTACCAACTAGTTACTAAGTCATGTATATTTGAACCAACCTGTGTGTTTGTATTAACTTTTGATTTGATATATTTTTTTGTAACATTATAGGCATTGATAGAATTAGACAGCATTACCAATATATATTTATACCGTAGACACTAGATATTGTAGCATTACATTCCTGATAATATCATATCTCATGTGATCTAATGTAAAATATGACATTAACAGATTTTTTCCAATGTAGATTAACTTAAAGTTTGAAAGTGTATGTGTTCTATAATCACATGACACCTGTGTTATACAATGAACACACTGATATACTGTTTTTTTGTATACCGCATTACCTCATGTACTACATATCCATTTTGACATCAGTATACTATACACAACAGGCATGTTCTCAAGTTTTCCTCAAAGTCAGAGAACTCATTGAGCATGTTACACTCATTAATCAAGTGAGTGAGAATTTTGTAAACTAAGATATGTTTTTTTTCTTTGCCTGAATGTTTCTAAATACTGCTACCTCAGTTTTATAATATAGACATCAGAAAAACGGAGCTTGGAATAAAACAGATTTACTTCCAATATTCCATAATTAAAGGGCAAGATTTCAATGATTTTAATATGGTTACCATTTAGCACACATAAATTTGCTGTATACATGATGCTATATCTTACTCCAGTACCTGCTTCCAAAGGTTTTAAGGTCATCAGGTCACCGTGAACACAAAATCAGTCACTAATTTCAGAATTTTAGCATTATGTTTGATTTCTGTAGTCTGTAAATCTTACCTTGGTTACATCTTCAAAATGGTTTGTTTATAAAACTTACGAGGCAGATATGAGTAAAGTCTCCTGAGAGTGGTAACATATAATTATCATATCTGGAGAAACAAAACATTTGTCAAATAAATGTCTGGTATGTGTATTCTTGGTGTGGATGTGTGAATTATCCGGTCTGTGCAGTACCTAATGTCCATATTATTAGGTAGATGAATTGAGACACCTACAATGTAACTGAATGTTCTAAGACAACAAAAATTGGGAAATTCTGAAGTGTCAGGTTCAACCCTTAATAGCCGTTCATAGGATGATAATCCCAGCGAACCATTCCAACATGTATAGAATAATATATAGAATACCTGGTGTACATTTCAGCTTCTAAAGTGCTAAGTTAGATTGTGTATATTTATCCCAAGCTGTACTTGTTGAATTTTGTTATGAAAGTAATTTAATTGACAATGAAAGATTACCAGAAGAAGACACTATCTAAAGAATGATGTTATTGATATCATATGTCAGTGGAGCATCACATGACGTTTATCAACATCTTTTTATGGACAAAATTTGTGTCAAAGGCAATACACTACCCTCTAAATTTAAGGTTTGTTATAATTAGCAATTACAAATATTGTAAATATGTAAAATAAATTATTTTTATGAAGCCAGGTTCTGTATGATATAGTAGTAAACATTTTTTTATCATTATGTATTGTGTAAATATCATATGTTATTACTTATATAATATACATGTACAAATATATATTACTTGTAACATAGCTTTTATCATGTTTCCTTCATTTATATCTATGCATTTTGTATAAAACATTCCATACTTGGACAAATATATATTTAAGTGCAATATATAGATCATATTTTAAATGTTAATCTTCAGGTTACAAAAGTCATTTAGTAGAAACAATTATAATGTCCAATGTCAGGTTCCCCAAGATCAATTTTGTTGAATATGACAACAGAATCTTGTGTGGAATTTGACCTTAACTATATTATTATAATTGTCTGTCATGTCCTCAACAAGATCAGGCAGAAACCTTTCAGTATAAAATGTGACTACCATGATGTATACTAAACAAAATATGACCAGAATGTATGTCTAACAAAGGAAGTGAAAAAAAAATTCAGTGAATTCGAGTAGATTATAATGCAGGGTGAACTTTTTATGCATTTCTAAGCAGTAAAATATTGGGTTAGTTATTGAATGAAAACTTTATATTGCACAAAGATTTGCAATTTCTTGCCTCCTAAATTATTGATTAAAGTCACATTGAATTAGATTTGCAATTTGGATGAAAATAGATAATAATCATGTTTTATTATTTAACACTACCTGTAGTTAGTGATCTGTCTTAAGGAGAATAAAAACACATTTCTGTAGATGTTACAGAGTTACCTCCACCTGTGGGTGTTACAGAGATACCTCCACCTGTTGATGTTACAGAGTTACCTCCTCCTGTGGGTTTTACAGAGTTACCTCCACCTGTAGGTGTTACAGAGTGACTTCTACTTGTTTTAGAAGGATTCCAGACTTGTGTAACTGGATATTTTCATTGTTAAATACAACTTTAGAAATAAGTTTAAGAAAAACTTCCTGTGCATTCGATACCTGTCACCAGACGTATATATCACATATCATGTGATATATACGTCTCTGCTGTCACCAAGTCATTTTTCATAATTCAATCTGATGTCTCACATTAGTAAAAAATACATTTATTCAAATATATTTATAGAATATTTCCTAAGCCTCAATAATTTCTCATGTATCTGATAATCAACAATCAGATAGTAGTAGAGTATAAATCTTTATTAATAAAGTTCTTGTAAAATGTGTAACATACGTACGAAGTATTCTATCAGCTGATCTTAATGTTTTTGACAATGAACAATGGATTAACAGTGTATTTTTATTTGGAGACATAAATGTTTATAAATATTGGCATGGGTATTTGTTATAAATGCTGTGAGCATAATCTTGTAAACTTTAGAGTAGATATTGTACAAGTATACATGACATTTATAGAGTAACAGGGTGCAGGGCATAACCATGACGATGGATTCTGAAAATTCTTAAATTTTATATTCTTTCCACAAAGTTTTCTAATCAAACTTTCATGGAAAATAAAACAAGTTGGTAAAGTACAAAAGTATCAAAACAAATTTATTTATATACAAAAAAATTTATCCCGCAATAAGCCCAGGGACTTGAAACATTCATAACCTTCAAATCAAAGTCATGGTGGGCTTATTACAAGACAAGAAGTCCATGCGGCTATCACATTGCCGCAGACAAGGAGTCAAGGGTTGGACTGATTACAGGACAATACTGTACTGTTTTTGTTAATTGTACTGAATAGATATGAGTGGGCTTATTATCAGACATTCGTTTATTGCCAAATTTATCAATACTGAACAATATTCAAAGTCAATCCATTCAGTTGATAGATTTTTCCAGTTATATTTTAAATTTATATTCAAATGCACTCAGTATTTAAGTATCAGTTGATGATTTTAGTGTTTTGTATTGTACACAATTTTAACATGTTTTAAATATAATCAATCTAAGCTGAATTGAATGTTACTTCCATTTAAGTTATATAAAATATAAACTTACGGTTAAACATGTTTGCAGAAATCAAACTTTATTAAAATCAACATGATGTATTATTTAGCTCCACAACTACATTCGTATACTGTACTGAACCTGGTTAAGTACAACACTCATCTCATTTAATGATACCTTATCAAATTAAAAATAATAAAGAGATTGTGTTTTGGTTTATTATTTGATAAAGAAGATTTACACAAAGACATCAATGACAAAACATAGATAAATTATTCTACTTAGGGCTGCATGGGTAGCCAGCCAATAGATTTTGTATGACAGTCACATTGTCAGACTAAGGAGGTTCTACTATATAGACTGGTATGACAGTCACATCGTCAGACTGAGGTTCTACTATATAGACTGGTATGACAGTCACATTGTCAGACTAAGGAGGTTCTACTATATAGACTGGTATGACAGTCACATTGTCAGACTAAGGAGGTTCTACTATATAGACTGGTATGACAGTCACATTGTCAGACTAAGGAGGTTCTACTATATAGACTGGTATGACAGTCACATTGTCAGACTAAGGAGGTTCTACTATATAGACTGGTATGACAGTCACATCGTCAGACTGAGGTTCTACTATATAGACTGGTATGACAGTCACATTGTCAGACTAAGGAGGTTCTACTATATAGACTGGTATGACAGTCACATCGTCAGACTAAGGAGGTTCTACTATATAGACTGGTATGACGGTCACATTGTCAGACTAAGGAGGTTCTACTTGTAGACTGGTATGACAGTCACATTGTCAGACTAAGGAGGTTCTACTATATAGACTGGTATGACAGTCACATCGTCAGACTAAGGAGGTTCTACTATATAGACTGGTATGACGGTCACATTGTCAGACTAAGGAGGTTCTACTTGTAGACTGGTATGACAGTCACATTGTCAGACTAAGGAGGTTCTACTATATAGACTGGTATGACAGTCACATCGTCAGACTAAGGAGGTTCTACTATATAGACTGGTATGACGGTCACATTGTCAGACTAAGGAGGTTCTACTATATAGACTGGTATGACGGTCACATTGTCAGACTAAGGAGGTTCTACTTGTAGACTGGTATGACAGTCACATCGTCAGACTAAGGAGGTTCTACTATATAGACTGGTATGACGGTCACATTGTCAGACTAAGGAGGTTCTACTTGTAGACTGGTATGACAGTCACATTGTCAGACTAAGGAGGTTCTACTATATAGACTGGTATGACAGTCACATTGTCAGACTAAGGAGGTTCTACTATATAGACTGGTATGACGGTCACATTGTCAGACTAAGGAGGTTCTACTATATAGACTGGTATGACAGTCACATTGTCAGACTAAGGAGGTTCTACTATATAGACTGGCATGACAGTCACATTGTCAGACTAAGGAGGTTCTACTATATAGACTGGTATGACAGTCACATTGTCAGACTAAGGAGGTTCTACTATATAGACTGGTATGACGGTCACATTGTCAGACTAAGGAGGTTCTACTATATAGACTGGTATGACGGTCACATTGTCAGACTAAGGAGGTTCTACTTGTAGACTGGTATGACAGTCACATCGTCAGACTAAGGAGGTTCTACTATATAGACTGGTATGACGGTCACATTGTCAGACTAAGGAGGTTCTACTTGTAGACTGGTATGACGGTCACATCGTCAGACTAAGGAGGTTCTACTATATAGACTGGTATGACGGTCACATCGTCAGACTAAGGAGGTTCTACTATATAGACTGGTATGACGGTCACATCGTCAGACTAAGGAGGTTCTACTATATAGACTGGTATGACGGTCACATCGTCAGACTAAGGAGGTTCTACTATATAGACTGGTATGACGGTCACATCGTCAGACTAAGGAGGTTCTACTATATAGACTGGTATGACGGTCACATCGTCAGACTAAGGAGGTTCTACTATATAGACTGGTATGACGGTCACATCGTCAGACTAAGGAGGTTCTACTATATAGACTGGTATGACGGTCACATCGTCAGACTAAGGAGGTTCTACTATATAGACTGGTATGACGGTCACATCGTCAGACTAAGGAGGTTCTACTATATAGACTGGTATGACGGTCACATCGTCAGACTAAGGAGGTTCTACTATATAGACTGGTATGACGGTCACATCGTCAGACTAAGGAGGTTCTACTATATAGACTGGTATGACGGTCACATCGTCAGACTAAGGAGGTTCTACTATATAGACTGGTATGACGGTCACATCGTCAGACTAAGGAGGTTCTACTATATAGACTGGTATGACGGTCACATCGTCAGACTAAGGAGGTTCTACTATATAGACTGGTATGACGGTCACATCGTCAGACTAAGGAGGTTCTACTATATAGACTGGTATGACGGTCACATCGTCAGACTAAGGAGGTTCTACTATATAGACTGGTATGACAGTCACATTGTCAGACTAAGGAGGTTCTACTATATAGACTGGTATGACAGTCACATTGTCAGACTAAGGAGGTTCTACTATATAGACTGACACAACACACTGACTGATGTTTCGAGGTCAGGTACATTCCAATGATCATTGAGTGCTGTTAATTGATTGTGAGCAAAATCAACTACATGACCTTTTCTATTTACACATATATTTGTATAAGTGATGATGACAGGTAAGAAATGTACAAGATAGTGTGAAAAAACTTCTCTGTCAGCCATTTTGTCTTTTAGATCAGTGTCAAGATTTCAATAACTCTTCTAGATACCATGGGATACTTAAATATGAAATTTGCAAAAATTCCCTTCACAAGAAATTACTATACAAGAATTAAAAAAACTGTTGAAGGATGGAAGATGGACAGACACTACAGAAGGACAGACAATGGATGAAGCTCAATTTAAAAAACAAACAATCTGCTGATGGCAAACTAAAAACCACAACAAATATTTTAATGAAAACAAATTTATTTTGATAACATTTGAAATAAAAAGGATATGATACAGACTACAGTAAAAATCACAGTGATATCACAGATACATCATATAGTATATATTTGGAACATTTTAATATAGTATGTAGTTATCATATATCAGTCCTCAAGTTTTCTTCCCAAAACAGTTGTACCCCTCTTATCAAAAGAGTTTGAATGTTACAGATTTTCTCAATACTATCTCAGTAATACAATGTGTACTGAATTATCACCCAAGATTTGACTGGATACAAACGCAGCACAATTTGTAGATGCAATTTATAAGAACTCATTGTATTAATATGAGAGTATTGAGGAAAGGTGTATGAAGTTTGATTTCCTAAAGAGTTAAAATCAAACACATGTAGAAAATCATGATTAAATCAGTAGATCTATATCAACAGATAAACACAGGAGATATATTCAACAGTTTCAAAATGATCGCTTCACAACCTCAAACATGAACAAGGCAAGGCTGTAAATATACACATTTTAGTTTTTATCTTATTTTACTCCGGTTAATGATGAATAAAATGGACTTAAATATCTTTTTTGAATGTTATTTATATCGCAACATTGTGGATGCTATTAATTTGCCAAAAGGTGATAATGCAATAAAATTTGAGTAGCCATATTATGTAAGTTCATGATAAACAACAAACACATTAGCTAGTTAATAATCCAAGCTGTTAAAACTGCCTTTTTCATTCCCATAAAATTCCTCTCATTAAAAATTAACAGATTTATCAATGTATTGCCAAGTAATCATGGATGCATGCAGTTGACGGTCTGAAGGTCCATACCTAATTTTCAATCATCAACACATTACCGTGCTGTCATGGTAACAGAAATATAGCTTAATATGCAGGTATTTGGTTTAGATCATGAATGATCAATGATTCGTTGAATAAACCCCAACATATTGCTGGACTGTTGTAATATCTCCTGGACAGATATCACTTGGCTTGGAAACGACGATATAGCGGAAGGAAAAGTTAGGACGATACTACAATAAACATGTCTGAATTAGACCAAGGAGTCAAACACTACCAACACACATAACAATTCAAAATGCATTTGGTGAGATCGACTACATTAACATGTTCATGATGTCTCATTGAAATAGTTTTGGTAGGACAGGTACCAATACATCTAGGCCAATGTTACAGACTTAACTAAAATACAAAACTGCAGAGTTTTCTGTCAAAATACATTTAATCATCTGGCTTTAAAAACTTTCCTGGGATATGTTTCATTTGGTTTTTGAGTATCGATAAAATGAGATTTCCTGTATTATACACCGATATCAACCTTAGTAAGAAATACTGGTGTCAGCTATTCCTTGCAGCATCCCTGTGTCTTCTGATGACATATATACTGAGATGACAGCCTCCAATTTCCACATGATCTTTAGGTTTAGGATCAATCAATTTATATCAACCTTTTACACAGTGTAAAAATAATCACATACAAAATATAACCTTCAATGACTGTAACCATGACACTAAATAACCAGTCAAGGGTGTCGAACATCAGAACAAGATCTGTAAACTTGTAACATAAATTATAACGACTGTTACCATGACACTGAATAACCAGTCAAGGGTGTCGAACATCAGAACAAGATCTGTAAAATTGTAACATAAATTACAACGACTGTTACCATGACACTGAATAACCAGTCAAGGGTGTCGAACATCAGAACAAGATCTGTAAAATTGTAACATAAATTACAACGACTGTTACCATGACACTGAATAACCAGTCAAGGGTGTCGAACATCAGAACAAGATCTGTAAACTAGTAACATAAATTATAACGACTGTTACCATGACACTGAATAACCAGTCAAGGGTGTCGAACATCAGAACAAGATCTGTAAACTAGTAACATAAATTACAACGACTGTTACCATGACACTGAATAACAAGTCAAGGGTGTCTAGCAACAAGATCTATAAACTAGTAACATAAATTACGACTGTTACCATGACAATAAATAACCAGTTGAGAGTGAATAACAACAGAACAGGATCTATAAACAAGTAACATACATTACAACATAAGCATATTGAAACAACAGAATTTTGTGACCAAAGCTTTTCACCCTGGAAAGATATAATGTATACTTGTAGAAAGTCTGCTTGTAGTCCCTATATAGATTCATCACACTACTGAGTACAGCCAGCTACACTTGTAATGTTCTGATGCCTTCTACCGGGTGATAAAACAAATCACTTTTATGTTGTTCTCCTATAAGGTATCCTCACAGAATTGATAATACCTATCACAGTAGAGTTCAGCAATACATTATTAGATAAACAGTCTTCATTAATAACTATGAATGGTAGACCCTGATCAGTTCTGTGATGTCCTTCCGACAAATTGGACAACCATCTCGCCGATTCAGGAGCATCTTTGAACATTCGTAACAAGTGATCATGTGGTGGCATGGGCTGAGAAGACAGTCCCTCATACGGTCCATACAGATAGCACAGTCTGGGTCGCGGTCCTCATCCATACCCTCTGTACACAGAAATTATACATTTACTATCAATGCTGTGAGAAGTAATTTTAAATATTTTGATGAAAAGTTTATCATACAACAGATGAAGATCCCTGAGATTATCATGCTGACTATATAGGATACTTATTCCAAACTGATTCTCTGAACTGAATTTCTACTTCAAACTGATCACTATACTGGCAGTAATCTGGAAAAATTGTTGCTAAGGATAACAAACAAGTTACCATACAAAAAATTATCTCCAGGGAATGTCTGATAACAACACTAAATAGATTATCATACAAAAGATTATCTCTAAGGAATGTCTGATAACAACACTAAATAGATTATCATACAAAAGATTATCTCTAAGGAATGTCTGGTAACAACACTAAATAGATTATCATACAAAAGATTATCTCTAAGGAATGTCTGGTAACAACACTAAATAGATTATCATACAAAAGATTATCTCTAGGGAATGTCTGATAACAACACTAAATAGATTATCATACAAAAGATTATCTCTAGGGAATGTCTGGTAACAACACTACAAAAGATTATCTCTAGGGAATGTCTGGTAACAACACTAAATAGATTATCATACAAAAGATTATCTCTAAGGAATGTCTGGTAACAACACTAAATAGATTATCATACAAAAGATTATCTCTAAGGAATGTCTGGTAACAACACTAAATAGATTATCATACAAAAGATTATCTCTAAGGAATGTCTGATAACAACACTAAATAGATTATCATACAAAAGATTATCTCTAGGGAATGTCTGGTAACAACACTACAAAAGATTATCTCTAGGGAATATCTGGTAACAACACTAAATAGATTATCATACAAAAGATTATCTCTAAGGAATGTCTGATAACAACACTAAATAGATTATCATACAAAAGATTATCTCTAGGGAATGTCTGGTAACAACACTAAATAGATTATCATACAAAAAATTATCTCTAGGGAATGTCTGGTAACAACACTAAATAGATTATCATACAAAAGATTATCTCTAGGGAATATCTTAAAACAATATACTTAATACCTTGCACTGCAAGACCCAGAAGTTTTGTCTTGAAACATTGATGAGGCAGAATACTAGTAATCAATATTCTTTGATCAGCATATACATATTAAAAGCTGTATACACTGTTCATGAAAAAAGCCTTATTAAAAGAAAAAACACTTTTGTATTTGACCTTGTGATATCATATGATGTGTATTGTATACATGAGGAAGGGAGTGTTTAAAAGATCTTGAGAATTCTTTCTACCTTTCAGAGGAAATCCACAGTTAAGTGAAAATCAGGGAAAACCGATACATCCACATCACATAGGAAGACAAAGGGATTTAGGTAGATATTGATGAGAGTGAGGAAAAACCCAAATGTAAGTCGGTAAGACGGTATCAGAGGTCATCTCCATAGCAACTGGAGAAACAAAGCACTCTGCATACCAGATATGCAGTGTTGACGAGGCTGAGGAGCTCAGCATGGGGTCTAAACTCCTAAGTCTCTGCTAATTACTGCTCAATCAGAGAAAGTGGAGGACTCTCTACATGTCAATCAGCAGCAGTACCTGGCCCTATATAGCATCAGTCTGACTCTTCATACCTCTAAACCCCCTATAACCTCATCCTCTCAACATCATCAAACAAACACCAATAAACACATAAGACATTGTTGACATCAATGAAAATTTCTGACAAAAAAAATAACAAATATTGAAACCGTTTTTGTTAAAGTTATGAAAACTATATAACAAATAAAATCGGAAATTAAAATATTTCTATAGTTGGAGTAATGGAGTAGTAGATAACACTTTACGTAGTGTTGATATCAGCATTGTTATTATGATCATTACTGAAGGACCCCTGATATAAGCCGATCTGTCATTCCGGTTATATATCGGTCACTGACACATAAACTAAAAGCCTCCATATAATAGCCTATTAGAATACATTACATTTCTCATGGACTGATGTTATATAGTCATTGTTTTCAGAGATTGAAAATCTCCTCTCAGTACTTTATTAAAGAAGAGCAAATATTCTATAAATTTGTATATACCCCCCCGGTATATACTGCAATTACATTTCTATTATATGATCATCATGACCTTGAGTTATTAATATTTCAGCTTGAAAAGGTCCGGTCAACTATTTCAGATATTGATTAGGTGAACTAGACCTGATGGTAATTTCATCAGGAATTTTAATGTTTTGTTTAAATCCTATCAACAAGTAAGAGGATCAAGTCAAAAGGATTTAAATCATGACCCAGGTCACACCAAACTTATTCTTTATGACCCATAACCTGGATACAACAGTATCGGGTATAGGCTTTTCTAAATTCTGAAGCTTCTTGGAATTTTGAAAATGGGTCAAGGTCCTTGATTTGAACAATCTTGAAAACTCTTTACCACTGCATTCTACAGATGAAATATCTTACATGGCTCCTTTTGATTACTCAAAAGAATTTCTTTAATTATTTCAACATAATGCACACCTGTGACCTGTAAATTTGGTCAAGGTCTTTCATGCATCTGCACAAACTTAAGAGCTGTTTATTTCAACATATAGCTGTTCTGATACTCAACCAGTGACAGGCTGAATGCTATAATAATGGATGTAAAATAAATATTCCTGTCGCCTTGTAGATTAGTCACGGTCATTATTTTAACGAGATTGGTAACCCATCATCCAAGCATGCTACATGTCAAATACAACAAAAATTTGTTTGTTTGTTTATGGTTTTATGTCCTTGTAACAGTCAGGAGATAAGGTCAATGGATGATGGGGTCCTAACAGATGTTGTTTTAGAGTGCCATCGCACTGAAATGACATGGTAGCATTACGCCATACTCAATCATATTAAACTGACAATGGACAATCCAGTTCTTGTGCATCCCATTTCATGCTGAGTGACAAAAGAAAGACTGCAACACCATTACTGTTATCTCACAGCTTTGGGACAGAATGTAAATTAGCATTTAAATATCATGACCCTGTGGGTCTTTTCATTTAGAGAAAGTGCTTCAAAATTTAAACATTAGATAATATTGTCCTTGAAAGTGGGTCACTGTTATTTATCTGAACAAAGTTGATAGCTGTTCATCTAAGCATACTACTGAAAAGATAACTCTAAAGAAACTGTCACCAGGATGGCTGACTAAAACCCCCTGCTTCCCAATCAACACTAGTTCAGGAGAGGTTGTCACAAGAAGCTTTCATTTGGTCACCATGGCAACCAAATAGCAACTTTTTTTTTGTCTTTTGTTTTCTTTTCTCTTGAAAATGGTACCATTATATTTGTCATCATCCTATATCTTTTTATACCAAATTTCAAACAAATCAGAATATACATGTATTTAAAATAGGACCAATCAAATCCTCCAATGTGTTTCTATGGTAATGCATTTGACTTTAAAGCATTTAAGCCCTATGACTTAAAAGTAGGTTGAGGCCATTCATTTTGATAATCAATAATTTGACCAACTTTTGTTACGGCATTCAGAAGAAATGACTGTAAAAGATCTGATAAGGTTTGAACCAGGTGAGTCTGTGACTTTGAAAGCAGGTGTTGTTCATTTAATATTTGGTAGACTTTGGTCCATTAGCATGCTTCTGACCAAATACCATGACCCTGATCAATTCCTGGTTATTCAGAAAATGTTTGCCATAAATGTGTTTTGACTGCAGTGAAATTGTGAAACTGAAGTCAGTTAATCTCATTTATTTCAACAAAACTGGAAGTCCTTTATCCCAGCATTAACCTGAGCCTCTGGTCATCAAAAACAAGTCATGTACATATTTCAATGTATTTTACCTGAAATATGGGTCAGAGTCATTTATTTGGAAAGCTAACTAGCCCTCTGACATCTTGGTTAGGCAACTGATGACCCATTTATCCATCAAGAATATCTATTCAACCATATCTAGGTCTTGAGAAGATTTTTCATCTTTAGTCCATACTTCCCAAATCATCAGTCCTTAAGATCAGTTTGGTTTAATTTGTGCATCACATCAATCTGTCAAATCTAATACCAATACCTATAATGCTTACAAAGTTTGAATTATTTCCAATTGAAAAAAAAACAAAGTTGAATAAAAATGTCATTTTCCTTGATAAACTATGGTAAGTTTTACCCCTTCCCAAGGGACAATGTGAAGCACTGGTCTTGTGAAATTCACAATTTCGGTAAACCACCTTAAGACTCTTCAAAAATAACTAAGTAAGCCTATATCTAAATAAGCCTATAACTAAGTCAGCCTATAAATAAGTAAGCCTATAATTAAGTATGCCTATATCTAAGTAAGCCTATAACTAAGTCAGCCTATAACTAAGTATACCTATAACTATGTCAGCCTATAACTAAGTATGCCTATAACTAAGTCAGCCTATAACTAAGTATGCCTATAACTAAGTATGCCTATAACTAAGTAATCCTATAACTAAGTCAGCCTATAACTAAGTTAGCCTATAACTAAGTATGCCTATAACTAAGTATGCCTATAACTAAGTATGCCTATAACTAAGTATGCCTATAACTATGTCAGCCTATAACTAAGTATGCCTATGACTATGTCAGCCTATAACTAAGTATGCCTATGACTATGTCAGCCTATAACTAAGTAATCCTATAACTTAGAAAGCCTTTAACTAAGTATGCCTATTACTATGTAAACCTATAACTAAGAGCCTATAACTAAGTATGCCTATAACTAAGTTAGCCTATAACTAAGTATGCCTATAACTAAGTCAGCCTATAACTAAGTAAGCCTATAACTAAGTATGCCTATAACTAAGTCAGCCTATAACTAAGTATGCCTATAACTAAGTATGCCTATAACTAAGTCAGCCTATAACTAAGTAAGCCTATAACTAAGTATGCCTATAACTAAGTCAGCCTATAACTAAGTATGCCTATAACTATGTCAGCCTATAACTAAGTATGCCTATGACTATGTCAGCCTATAACTAAGTAATCCTATAACTTAGAAAGCCTTTAACTAAGTATGCCTATAACTAAGTCAGCCTATAACTAAGTTAGCCTATAACTAAGTAAGCCTATAAGTAATCCTATAACTAAGTAAGCCTATAACTAAGAGCCTATAACTAAGTAAGACTATAACTAAGAGACTATAACTAAGTAAGCCTATAACCAAGTCAGCCTATAACTAAGTCAGCCTATATCTAAGTATGCCTATAACTATGTCAGCCTATAACTAAGTCAGCCTATAACTAAGTAAGCCTATAACTAAGTAAGCCTATAACTAAGTCAGCCTATAACTATGTCAGCCTATAACTAAGTCAGCCTATATCTAAGTAAGCCTATAACTAAGTAAGCCTATAACTAAGAGCCTATAACTAAGTAAGCCTATAACTAAGAGCCTATAACTAAGTCAGCCTATAACTAAGTTAGCCTATAACTAAGTTAGCCTATAACTAAGTAAGCCTATAAGTAATCCTATAACTAAGTAAGCCTATAACTAAGAGCCTATAACTAAGTAAGCCTATAACTAAGAGCCTATAACTAAGTAAGCCTATAACTAAGTAAGCCTATAACTAAGAGCCTATAACTAAGTTAGCCTATAACTAAGTAAGCCTATAACTAAGTAAGCCTATAACTAAGTCAGCCTATAACTAAGTTAGCCTATAACTAAGTAAGCCTATAACTAAGTAAGCCTATAACTAAGAGCCTATAACTAAGTAAGCCTATAACTAAGAGCCTATAACTAATTCAGCCTATATCTTAGGACAAGCTACAAGCTAAGTATGATTAAATGCCTTCAGAGTATTAACAGCAAGTGAGTGTTTTAACAAAAATGTCCTTTGTGACCTTGTATATGGTCATTTTTTTCACAATCAAGGTTTATCACCATAAACTTGTAAGCCATATATCATGATTCCATGCCTTTCGGTTCATCAGACAAAGCAAATTTGAGCATTTTCAGAAATTTGATCCCTGTGACCTGGAGTGTGGTTCAATGTCTTAACATTTATAAGATTTCATCCCCATCCCAGCAATCTGCCAGACTCTTGGCCTCTTGGTTATCAAGAAGAAATTATGTAAGGGAAATATATATGACTTGGGATTGAAGATAGATGCCACACCATGGTATAAGCTTACTTGATCCCATAGACCAGGAAGGAAACTTAAAAAAACAAACATGGACAACAGACACAAGCACACTTACATACACAGTAAATATGCGGCTTCAGTTTATCACAACAAGGGAAGACCAACAGCTTTCAGAAAGTGAAGTCTAGAATTCATAAAGATAGCGAGCAGACAAATCAAGGATCATTGCACAAATCTAATAGTTCTTCCAAATCAAGAAGATCAAGAGAGCTTAAAAGTATTTTAAAATTAAATTCTTCCACATGAAAATACACTGTACTATCCTGTGAGATAGCCCAGGATTAATGGTCATACATTCTTGTGTGATACTCACTTTTTTTCTCCTCACTCTGGGGAACATTACCCTGGTGTGACAAGGCAGGAATCATGCTCTCAAACAGGTGACCCACACCTGACGAGCTCTTTATCTGCTCCAGACGAGCTGCAGCCAAATGAAAAGAACACGGTAAAATAGGCAACATGAAAACACAAGATCTGTGATGAATGTTCAAAGCCTAAGCCATATGGTCTGATGGGTGTAATGATAACAAAAGTAATGACTTTAGAGGATTATCAATGTTTACATACATCAGATGAATTGTTAACATACATATCCACATATATATAAATAATGCCTTCAATTTCATAAACATTATTAAATCAATTCACGTCTTGTTAAGGAACATAGCATGAGGAACATGTTGATATATTTAGAAAAATATGATGTCCTAAAAAAATCCCCATTTCGTATATGTACCTTTCTTTCGTTCCTCTCTTTGTTCCTCTGACAAAATGAGGGGTTCTCCACCTGATCTGAAGAACAAGGTCTTTCCCATTCTTTCCAACATAATCCGAACTGAAAAAAGGCTCAGTTGCTCCAAATCATTACATCACCATTAGAAATTTGCTTAAAACACTACAAGTTCACCACTAAAGAAATCTATATATGATTTTACATGGGTATTACATCTTGTCTATTATATTTTTTTAAGAAAGTCGCAATTTGTCTATCATATGGTGTCCAGAACAAATTAACTTGTTAGAAGCATCAGTAGGTAACATTTAGCCCAAAGTAGATTCCTTGTATATGACAGCATGTGAACTTACCTTTCTGGATTGCTTTCTGTGAAGAGAATGAGCTAGGTGTAATTTCCACCTCTGGGATACCGTATACAGGATACAAGAATCGAAGACCCATCGTCCTCTGTAACATTGTTTATAATTCTCATTAACAGTGTAATAATGTTTCTATCTGATTCGCACCTAAAGGATATTGTATACAGGGAACGGGAATCCTAAACTTATCGTCCCCTGTAACATTGTAGACAGCACTCATTGTGTAATAATGTTTTTCTAGTTTTTCTAAATGATTGTATTTTTGATTTTCAGAATATGTATATATTTTATCAATCATGTATATAATATACTATGTAGATACTTTCTTAGCAGTCAAGACAAAATACATAAATACAATAAATTGTACAAATCACATAATTACATTTACAAATCAAGAGTGCATTCATGACTTTATAATCATAACTATAGGGAGCACTCCTACTTCAAAGATCCCAAATTTTTACTTTTACCTTGACACAAAATAAGTTTTGTATTTTTCTTCAGTATTGTTGGATGCATTAAGATGGCCAGAGTTATGTCCCTTCATTTTACCACACATGAAATATTGATATGACAACCTGGGTTATAGTAATTGGTTTTTCACCCAATAATCTTCTGATCAGTTTAAAGCAGAATACCATATTACAGGACCTACCTCTTTTATGTTGGTTCTCTGAACAACATCATCTATCTTCAATCTCAGTGTATTACTGCTGAGAACAGCGTCTGGCTTCATCAAGTGAGAAATTCCTGTCAAATAAACAAATTAAAACAGACTTATGTTAATTTTATAACATAACAACCATACGATGTCACAGTCAAATCTAAGCACACCACTAGGGGCTGCTATAGCTCAGCCATTTAGAGCATTGCATGCCAAACATAACCTCAGAAGGGCTAAGGTACATGGTTATCCTCACTGCTCTGGATAGCAAATGAAAGGCGTCTGGTCTTGTCTTATCCAGTTCAGGTAGCTACTAGCTACTACAGGGCCTGACTCTAAATGACCCTGTTCATAGGGTGAAACCCAGCACATAAAAAATAGAAATTCATTGCAGAAAGGAAAATGGAATTTTAATGAGAAATCCAGTAGATACACATGTCACATGTACTGAAATAACACTAGAATTTATTAATGTATGGGACATGACAAATTGTTATAAAACAATACTTGTATCATAATCATCTTAAAATTCAACAGTAGAAAGTTATCCAATGCTGTGGTTTATCAAGTCCAATAACCCTCAAGTTTAAACAATGGGAAACTATGATTTGCATTCCAATTATATAAATATATTACTTACTTTCAAATAGATCTCTCTTCACCTCAAGGTCTTCTATGACACATTCAATTACAATTTCAACATCACAGACTGTTTCTTCCAGCCGACTCATACATAGTACCTGGCCCTGGCAAGGGAAAATAGAAGAGTCCATTGAAGGAGCTGACATTTATATGAAATTGTTCTTTCAGGTTTTTACCTAAATCTGTATTACCTTAATATCACTTCTGGATCAGTATGCAAATGTACTATGTTACAGCATGTCTGTGCTAAGCATGGTCAGTGTGTAGAAGGATTCTTGAAATGATGTTGAGAAGTCCACTACGACATATTAGGAAGGTCAGCCCCCATCCCACTTAATGCTGACCAGTAAAAATCTGAAACATGTATGTATCTTGACTTACAATAAAACTTTTTTGGAGCAATAATCCTTCTTCTCTCAGATTCTTTTTATCTTCTTCCATACGCTGGTAAACACTGTTTAGATTCTTTATACTGGAGTCATAGATCTTGACACGATGGCCATGGTATGCTAGTTCTCCTGTAAAATAGATAATTTATGTCAACTTACTGAAACAATATTCTGAACATGACATACATTCAAATTGGTTATACAGAACTCACAATATTATCCACTTTTCTGCTAACTTAAGTGACCTTGACCATTCACCTAAAAACATGCAAATGCAAATTTTGAGTGAAAATGGTTCAATACCATTGCATACAAAAATGTAAACAAGTCCAGAAACAAGTTTTCTACTGACATTAATTAGTAACCTTGACTAGAAAAGGAACCTTAAAAATTCTGATTAGTCTGAATCAAAAAAGTCACTAGGGACCATGGAGAATCTATGTAGAAAAATTGAGAAAAATCAATTCTGACTTTTTCAAATAATATTGATAACAATACCTAATAATAAAATAAAGCAGTCAAAAAATAAAACAGCTGCCATTTTGTTTTTCATATAAGTCTTAAAATAGAATGTGCATCACTAGGGAAAGGAACAAAGGCTTCATATCAAAGATCCATTTGGTGCACTTCTCAAGAGATAGCGATAATATATTTTCATTGCCAATATCCAGGATGGCTTCCTGTAAGTCATATTGCTTTTCACATCAGTCACAAAATGAAAGGTCAGGAAACATGGGGAACCTGCAAGTGAAATTTGGGAAATATCTATCTAGTACTTGCCTAGAAATAACAACACCAAACTTCCTTTGTCAAAATACAAGGTGTCCATCTGTCAGCATCACTATTTTTCTGATCAATTACAAAATTGAAAAGGCACCATTTGACAGAAATCTGCTGTTCTGCACTTCCCAAGAAATAGCAATAACAAACAGAAACAGGAGGGAAAATTAGAATAGTAGCCAATCTGATGTTGGTGGCTTAAAAATAAAATAGCCAAACTTCATTTGTTTACAGAGGGATCAAGTGGTGCATATCATTGTATACTCTTCGTTGTTTCTTTTTTTAAACTGATTTTTTTTTCACAGCTACTTAGCTTCATGATCTCATGACACATCTATACCTTAATGGCATCAGTAGAACTTGAGAAGAAGTTTAAAATGTGTTTTTCAAGACGGTGGCCATCGTAGCTATATTTGATTTTGGACAGACCCAAAAAATAACAGCACTGTCAAGGCAATTTTATGCAAATGTCAGCTCAATCCCACATATGGAATTTGAGAAGTTTTACATGTAAAGTTTACCCTTGGCAGATGGCACATAGATGAAACACAATGGCTCTGTACATCACGACTCTTTGGTCACATGACATGCTTACAAAAATATGTTAACTTAAAGACTTGTTGTGTATATAAATCAATTTCTTTCAGAAGTGCATAACATTTTTTTTTCAAAATAAACAGTAGTAGAAAGTTTGTTGAATTTCAAATCAACAGCGCTAACTTTTGTGGCATATGATTTCTGTTAACATTTTATATTTCCAAAGCAATGTGTTAAATCATAAGCTATTTATTTACATGTACATCTGGAATATCAGGTGTCCCATGTTGTATACGACTTACTGCTTGAAATATAAATAAAATCCCTTTACAAAAGATGACATTAAAAAGTGAGTAATTTTTCGTTTGAATCAGGATTTTTTTATACGTCACTTTAACATTAGTTTTGCAGAGCGATAAACGACATAACTGCCACTGAAGATTTAATGTCTGCGACATCCTTACCTGCGATTTTAACCCCGAGTAACCCAGCACCTATCACAGCTATCTTCACCATTTTAACATTTCAGAGTTTCACTAAAACATAGTGACACAAATAAGTTGCATCAAATATATGTTGTTAGTCGCTTGAAATAAAGTTGATGAGATTATGTATAAAAGCTTATTGGGTAATCCATTTATTGACGCTTCCGTCCTCCATCTTGAATTACACTGGAGAAATCATTATGGGTATTTATCTAATATTATTCTTTTACTTACATTGACAAATGAGAATCAAAATAATTTGGTTTTTAAGATGTTAATTTTATTTATTTTTATCTTCACAAATTAAAATACTGTCAGTCTTGCGGGTGATCTTTTTTATGAAAAAAACTGTAGCTAACCTGTAATGGTTGCTCCCTTGCGTGGAAAAATTTTGGCGTCCTTGGTTGTGAACCGTTATTTCCCTATGAATAGACATATGGCTATATGATGCTTTATCAATAGGACATATTTAAATCATGAGTAAACAGTTTAATTCTTCAGAAAAGGCCCGGGAACGATGGAAACTTTTGGCAAAGGTACATATTCATAAATATATCTTTGAATTTTTCACTAATTCTAACAGGTGCTCGATCAGTGCATGGTATTCACATGTCGAATAGTCAGTTGTTGGTGTCGGCTGCTTTCGCGTAAACTGGCTGAAACTGTCCAGTTGGCACGAGACTATATATATTCCACGATAACTATATCTATATAATAAGCTTAGTCTTACAGGAACAGTACAGTATTAAAGTTGTCCTATTTTCATATTAAATGAAAAGATGAACAATCGACATTACTTTCTTTTTTAACTGTTTGAATGCCCTATGTTTTTCCCTTGAAATTTAAAGTTGATTATAACAAGAATTAATGCCATCAGTGGGAACATTAACTCTGAATCCTTTTTGGATATGAATCCCCCTGCTGCCACTGTATCTTGGACCCATGTTCGTAAAAAAAAATCTTATGCTCACGTTTGATTGCACACATCATGACAGATCAGACTGTTGATTGAAATAGCAGTCACTGGTACTGTGTACGTATGTAACATGTACTGGGGAGTGCAGCAATGCAAGCAGTCACCATGGCCCAACAACAAATACATAGACATGGCTCTCAACCACATTGTGTAGGTATTAAATAATTAATACAGAATTAATGAGATGGGATGGAGTGTCATTCTTGTCAGGTTGCCCCAACATTTATCAGGTTGATCATTTTGGGGCCAGTCCTCCAATTATGGCATGCCAAGTTTGGGGCAATGGGACCTTGGGGACCCTCTTGTTTGAGAAGGGGATTTGTATGGTCAGCCAATCACCTCCTTACCTTGACATGTTCTAGCCATGAACAACCTAACAGGTTTGTATGTTACACATGCACTGACCTGCTCGTTCAGTCTCCAAAGCACTGTGGAGTGACCAGGTCCAGGCCTCCAGCACTGACATGGTTTTAAGATATTAAATGAAACCCACCATCCCTTTAGATTGGGTCTTTCATGTTGTAGTTATTAGTTTGTAGTTGTCTCTTAGCGAAAGACCAGTATTTCATTACTTGTGGACTTTGTTGTCCACAGATAAATATTTTGTAATGTTGTATATCTTCATATCTACAGAACATCTGATTAATAAGCCACAGAATTTAGCTATTAGATCATCCATGTAAATATTCAGCTGAAAAGCCTATATTCATGAACCATATACACATCTTTGTTGATGAAATTCCTGAAGCTCAAAACTTCAAAAGCTGGTTGATGTTGAGTTCACTTCTACTACCATGTTTTAATTATATTATTAAGTGACTCCCTGCATACCATTCAGTATCCATCCTCCAGTGATCTACCAGCCTGAGGATCCTATCTTACTTACTGGACCGGTGTTGGCTCCCTCCCCCCATTTTTATACGCCGTCGAAAGACAGATGTATTATGGTATGGCGCTGTCCATCCGTCCGGCGTAAACTTTTATTTGTCCGGAGATCTCCTCCTACATTTTTCAGCCGATCTTTATAAAACTTAATAGGCTTAATCACCATGATATGAAGTGCTTTCCTGAACGGGGTTTTGATTAGATGATTTGAATAAGAGTTATGCCCCTTTGTTTATTTCACTATAGAAATCTTGTCCGGAGATATCCTCCAACATTTTTCAGCCGATCTTTATGAAACTTGGTAGGCTGAATCACCATGATATGAAATTGTGTTTTTCTGAACGGGGTTTTGATTAGACGATTTGAATAAGAGTAATGCCTCTTTGCTGTTTTGGATATTCACGGTCATATTTTGTTCCGCTTTGCGGTACTCTTGTTAGATAATATTAGAGACATTTCTGGCTTTAAGATCAATCAACAATCAGTTTAAAAAACACTACCATAAAGATTTTGTATCAGGGATTTAATACATATTAGTGAAAGATATATATGTATTTAACAATTTTGTACACCATATATATTATGGCTATGATAGAAGGACTCTTTCTCTAAAGGCCAGCTCAAAAAAACTTACAGACCATCTTATTCCCTACAAGTTATCATGTTTATTTTCTGGAATTATCCAGTTCCCGACTGTCCCTGTTTTTTTTTGCTTCTGACCATAATTTGTTTTTAACATTTTGGCAAAAGAATTCTCAAATCTCCATGTTGATTTTGCTCATGATTTGTTTGTTGGTGATCCCTAGATGTACTGGTAACCTGAGTCAAATTCACTTAGGTGCATGTCATCCATTGTTAAGGACCTTTCTCTTTACACCTTACAGGGAAGATGGAAGTTGCCAGATCATCAGAAGTTTTATAATTAAGGTTAGAGTGAAGAAAAAACTTTATATTTGCATACAGGTATCTTGAGTCTGATTCAAATAATGATAAATAAAACTCTCAGAGAATACTATAGTGGCAACATACAAGACACAACGAACGGACAAAAGTGGACATCAAACAAATACAATAGATTAATATTGGAAAACACCATGAAATTTCATAAAAACTATAGGTGAGATCTGGAGTTCCGAACAAGTATGTACCTCTTCTGCATATCTCTTCTTAATGTGATAATTCAGCATTGCTTTGGCAGATATTGACCAAATTTATCATTCTATATGATTGTTTTTCATTTTCCTTTTATACTCTCATAAACAAGTGGGTGGGGAGGCTATATGGTATAGAAATAAACTTTCTGTCTGTCCACTGTCCATCTGTAGCTGTCTGGAAGAAACTCGGCACATGATAGTAAAAGAAAGCCTATCATTTTAAAAAATCAAACAGCATAGATGTTTTCACAGATTGTTATATTCAACATAATACACATTTCATAACACATGCAACATCTATTCATATCTGACACATTAAAATAAGCAAAATATATCTAAAAAAATTATTTATTTATTTATTTATTTATTTCCTAAGCAGTCTGTTGCTGCCATATAGTATGGGAACCAGAATAAAGAAACACTGTACATGCACCTACTGTTAATGTAAGACTATGATAGTTGAGTAAAGTTTGAAATCTCTCAAGAAGAGTTAAATCATCTCACTGTCTTTGAAGTTAAGAATGGAAATGCATGGCTACACACTACAACATCTCAGGTTCACTTTTTTTTCCAAACGTTGTGTTTTATCATTTCAGTAATGCCTCACTTTAGACCTTTGTATTGAAAACATCTCCAAAGTTGACCTAAACAAACAAAAGTTCTTAATGCATGTACTTGCATGTGTCACCTCCCAGTTTGAGGTTGAATCCTATTTTTTGTTCAGTCAAAGTTTTTATCCCTTTACATACAACAAGCAATCTCAATGAAATCTGTATCATTGTCTTGCTGAAGACACAAGGGAGGCCAAGATGGATCTACTCTGTATAGGACCATCTTGTTATGTCCAGCTCTCCTCATACTTACTTCTTATTGGTGTCCAGACATACACCATCAGAAAGGAAATTGAAAAATATTAAGTGGATGCAAATTACTGTTACATTGTAACACCATACGATTACTTGATGTTTTCACAGGCATTGAAAGGACAACGATCTGATGAGACTTGTCAAAGTGCTGTTTCTGTACGACGGTTTGGCAGCTATGGCCTACTACAGACTCAGGAACTTTCTACGGCCGAAAATGTGAAGAATTGTGGATCAACATGGCACCGCTACACCTGTCCAGAAGTACTCAACTTTTCTATGACTATAAGGTAGATAACTCAGTTAAATATTGGCATATATCATTCTGTACAAATCTGACACTTACTGACAAATGACCTATGTTTGGTAAAAAGTCAAAACGTAATTTTTTCAGTGTTGTAGAAAAGCCAGGTTTATTTCATTGTCTTATGATAAGCTTGTTCCCACTTTGAGTGTGAGATTACGGATGTATGGTAATGAATCAAAGTTTTATGTAAATTTGTATAAAAATTGATTTTGTATTTCAATATACACTGTATAATCAAATGCATATATAGCCTCTCTATGGATTTTCTGGTTGTAGAAGTTCCTTTTTGTTTTTATACAAGATATAATACATCTGTTATGTCTATGATTTTTTAGACATTTGGCTGGGACGATAAAGCCTGAGACTGTGTTTGGTTTCAACAATACAGGAAATGTTTGTAAGTCAATTAAATTTCTCACATGATGATGAAAACTTTGCTAGTATTTTGAATAATTTGAAATGAATTGGAGTATATCATTGCATTCATTTATGTAATTCTGATGGTCTCAACTACTGAAATAATGATATCATACATAAAGAATTGAACTTTCTATGTGATACAAAAAAGTGACATGTGTATGTCTCTCCTCAACTTTGATAACTGTTTATAATGATGCTATCAAATTTCCCAAGAAAAAGATAATAATGGGGTTTTTTTTGGTGATTTTTATCATATCCTGTTACTATTGTAATGCTAAAATACTGATAATTTCTACTAGAATAGTATTTGCAAATTTTTTAAAAATACTGCAAAAAAAAAAAATCACTGGAAAGGTACGTCATAAGAATAAGTATCTTATGTCTGAGGTAACACATCTCCCCAATGTTCCATTCATAGTTACATCACAGTACTCACTAGCCCAGGGTGTTTTTATTTCAGGTGTGTGGCCCTCGGAGGAAGTGATGGCCTACCACACTCAAAAGTACCTTAATGACTTCAGGTATTTAATGTTTCACTTGGATATCTACATCAGTCGCATAGTGATAGCATATTTATGTACAGCACAACCACTGCATTACAGCTACATATAATTACAAACTACACAACAATGTATTACAGCTGTATCTACAAATCACAAAACAATGTATTGTATTACAACAACGTATAACAGCAATATGTACACACTACATAACAGTGTAATTACAGCCCTATCAACCAAAATACATTACATCTGAAGTGAAGTGGAAACAATTTGCTACAGTTGATGAAATTCAGCATCTTTCATGTACAAAGATTAATAGATGAACCTCCTCAGTACTAATTGTGCTCACTCAGTTTTATGTTTGAGAAACTATTTGAATCTAAGGAAACATAAAAAGTGAATTATAATGTGTAAGCTAATTTGATATACTTACCAGAGAAGGTTTATTGACAGGGGTGCAGCAGTCTGTGAACTTGGAGGTGGGATGACCTGTCTGGCCGGGGTCATGGTAAGTCTAAATATAGAATGTCCAGTCTCAGTATGTGTATTATGTATAATGTATAACTGGTGTGTATGATGTGTGTATCTGTGTGTTTGCTGCCTTGCCACACTAAGTAGTTCTGTCACTTCAGTTCCAATAAAGTCATAGATAGATGGTCTTTCTACTATGTGTAAAAACACTAATTCATCAACTTAACTTAAGCTTAGCATTATTTGTCATTCATAACAGTCAAAGTCTGAAAAGGTTAGAAGTTTTTAAATTTGGGTTATCTGTCTTTTTCCAGCTGTCCATTTTGTCTGAGGCAGAGAGCATGTTGTTGACAGATGGCAATGAAGAATCTGTGGACAGTAAGTTTTAAGTATTGTTTTGACTCTTTATGAATATTTCTCCTAAGTAGCCCACAGTCAGTGACATTATAAATCACCCAGTAGCCCTCTGTCAGTGACATTATGACTCACCCAGTAGCCCTCTGTCAGTGATATTATTAACAGTCAGTGACATTATTAACAGTCAGTGACATTATGACTCACCCAGCAGCCCTCTGTGAGTGACATTAAAAATCACCCAGTAGCCCTCAGTCATTGACATTATGACTCCCCCAGTAGCCCTCTGTCAGTGACATTATGGCTCCCCCAGTAGCCCTCTGTCAGTGACATTATGGCTCCCCCAGTAGCCCTCTGTCAGTGACATTATGGCTCCCCCAGTAGCCCTCTGTCCGTGACATTATGACTCACCAAGTCTGTCAGTGACATTATGGCTCCCCCAGTAGCCCTCTGTCAGTGACATTAAAAATCACCCAGTAGCCCTCTGTCAGTGACATTATGGCTCACCCAGTAGCCCTCTGTCAGTGACATTAAAAATCACCCAGTAGCCCTCAGTCAGTGACATTATGACTCCCCCAGTAGCTCTCTGTCAGTGACATTATGGCTCCCCCAGTAGCCCTGTCAGTGACATTATGACTCACCCAGTAGCCCTCAGTCAGTGACATTATTAACAGTCAGTGACATTATGACTCCCCCAGTAGCTCTCTGTCAGTGACATTATGGCTCCCCCAGTAGCCCTCTGTCAGTGACATTATGACTCACCCAGTAGCCCTCTGTCAGTGACATTATGACTCACCCAGTAGCCCTCTGTCAGTGACATTATGGCTCACCCAGTAGCCCTCTATCAGTGACATTAAAAATCACCCAGTAGCCCTCAGTCTGTGACATTATGACTCCCCCAGTAGCCCTCTGTCAGTGACATTATGGCTCACCAAGTAGCCCTCTGTCAGTGACATTATGGCTCCCCCAGTAGCCCTCTGTCAGTGACATTATGGCTCCCCCAGTAGCCCTCAGTCAGTGACCTTATGACTCCCCCAGTAACCCTCAGTCAGTGACATTATGGCTCACCCAGTAGCCCTCTGTCAGTGACATTAAAAATCACCCAGTAGCCCTCAGTCAGTGACATTATGACTCCCCCAGTAGCCCTCTGTCAGTGACATTATTACTCACCCAGTAGCCCTCTGTCAGTGACATTATGACTCCCCCAGTAGCCCTCAGTCAGTGACATTATGGCTCACCCAGTAGCCCTCTGTCAGTGACATTAAAAATCACCCAGTAGCCCTCAGTCAGTGACATTATGACTCCCCGAGTAGCCCTCTGTCAGTGACATTATGACTCCCCCAGTAGCCCTCTGTCAGTGACATTTATGACTTACTAAGTAGCCCTCTGTCAGTGACATTATGGCTCTCCCAGCAGCCCTCTGTCAGTGACATTATGGCTCCCCCAGTAGCCCTCTGTCAGTGACATTAAAAATCACCCAGTAGCCCTCAGTCAGTGACATTATGACTCCCCGAGTAGCCCTCTGTCAGTGACATTATGGCTCCCCCAGTAGCCCTCTGTCAGTGACATTTATGACTCACTAAGTAACCCTCTGTCAGTGACATTATGGCTCTCCCAGCAGCCCTCTGTCAGTGACATTATGACTCCTCCAGTAGCCCTCTGTCAGCGACATTTATGACTCACTAAGTAGCCCTCTGTCAGTGACATTATGGCTCTCCCAGCAGCCCTCTGTCAGTGACATTATGGCTCCCCCAGTAGCCCTCTGTCAGTGACCTTATGACTCACCCAGTAGCCCTCAGTCAGCGACATTATGGCTCACCAAGTAGCCCTCTGTCAGTGACATTATGGCTCCCCAGTAGCCCTCTGTCAGTGACATTATGGCTCCCCCAGTAGCCCTCAGTCAGTGACCTTATGACTCCCCCAGTAACCCTCAGTCAGTGACATTATGGCTCACCCAGTAGCCCTCTGTCAGTGACATTAAAAATCACCCAGTAGCCCTCAGTCAGTGACATTATGACTCCCCCAGTAGCCCTCTGTCAGTGACATTATTACTCACCCAGTAGCCCTCTGTCAGTGACATTATGGCTCCCCCAGTAGCCCTCTATCAGTGACATTATGACTCCCCCAGTAGCCCTCAGTCAGTGACATTATGGCTCACCCAGTAGCCCTCTGTCAGTGACATTAAAAATCAGCCAGTAGCCCACAGTCAGTGACATTATGACTCCCCGAGTAGCCCTCTGTCAGTGACATTATGACTCCCCCAGTAGCCCTCTGTCAGTGACATTTATGACTTACTAAGTAGCCCTCTGTCAGTGACATTATGGCTCTCCCAGCAGCCCTCTGTCAGTGACATTATGGCTCCCCCAGTAGCCCTCTGTCAGTGACATTAAAAATCACCCAGTAGCCCTCAGTCAGTGACATTATGACTCCCCGAGTAGCCCTCTGTCAGTGACATTATGGCTCCCCCAGTAGCCCTCTGTCAGTGACATTTATGACTCACTAAGTAACCCTCTGTCAGTGACATTATGGCTCTCCCAGCAGCCCTCTGTCAGTGACATTATGACTCCTCCAGTAGCCCTCTGTCAGCGACATTTATGACTCACTAAGTAGCCCTCTGTCAGTGACATTATGGCTCTCCCAGCAGCCCTCTGTCAGTGACATTATGGCTCCCCCAGTAGCCCTCTGTCAGTGACCTTATGACTCACCCAGTAGCCCTCAGTCAGCGACATTATGGCTCACCCAGTAGCCCTCTGTCAGTGACATTAAAATTCACCCAGTAGCCCTCAGTCAGTGACATTATGACTCACCCAGTAGCCCTGTCAGTGACATTATTACTCACCCAGTAGCCCCCTGTCAGTGACATTATGGCTCCCCCAGTAGCCCTCTGTCAGTGACATTATGACTCCTCCAGTAGCCCTCAGTCAGTGACATTATGGCTCACCCAGTAGCCCTCTGTCAGTGACATTAAAAATCACCCAGTAGCCCTCTGTCAGTGACATTATGGCTCCCCCAGTAGCCCTCTGTCAGTGACATTATGACTCCCCCAGTAGCCCTCTGTCAGTGACATTTATGACTCCCCCAGTAGCCCTCTGTCAGTGACATTTATGACTCACCAAGTAGCCCTCTGTCAGTGACATTATGGCTCACCCAGTAGCCCTCTGTCAGTGACATTATGGCTCCCCCAGTAGCCCTCTGTCAGTGACATTATGGCTCCCCCAGTAGCCCTCTGTCAGTGACATTATGACTCCCCCAGTAGCCCTCTGTCAGTGACATTTATGACTCCCCCAGTAGCCCTCTGTCAGTGACATTTATGACTCACCAAGTAGCCCTCTGTCAGTGACATTATGGCTCCCCCAGTAGCCCTCTGTCAGTGACATTTATGACTCCCCCAGTAGCCCTCTGTCAGTGACATTTATGACTCCCCCAGTAGCCCTCTGTCAGTGACATTATGACTCCCCTAGTAGCCCTCTGTCAGTGACATTTATGACTCCCCCAGTAGCCCTCTGTCAGTGACATTTATGACTCACCAAGTAGCCCTCTGTCAGTGACATTATGGCTCACCCAGTAGCCCTCTGTCAGTGACATTATGGCTCCCCCAGTAGCCCTCTGTCAGTGACATTATAGCTCCCACAGTAGCCCTCTGTCAGTGACCTTATGACTCCCCCAGAAGCCCTCTGTCAGTGACATTTATGACTCACCAAGTAGCCCTCTGTCAGTGACATTATGGCTCACCCAGTAGCCCTCTGTCAGTGACATTAAATATCACCCAGTAGCCCTCTGTCAGTGACATTTATGACTCACCAAGTAGCCCTCTGTCAGTGACATTATGGCTCACCCAGTAGCCCTCTGTCAGTGACATTATGGCTCCCCCAGTAGCCCTCTGTCAGTGACATTATGGCTCCCACAGTAGCCCTCTGTCAGTGACCTTATGACTCCCCCAGTAGCCCTCTGTCAGTGACATTTATGACTCACCAAGTAGCCCTCTGTCAGTGACATTATGGCTCACCCAGTAGCCCTCTGTCAGTGACATTAAATATCACCCAGTAGCCCTCTGTCAGTGACATTATGGCCCCCCAGTAGCCCTCTGTCAGTGACATTATGGCTCCCCCAGTAGCCCTCTGTCAGTGACATTATGGCTCCCCCAGTAGCCCTCTATCAGTGACATCATCAAATATTAATCTCTTGTTTAAACATATTTTTTTCAGATCTGAACAAGATAATTGACAATAACAGTTCAGCCTTTGGGAAAACAAAAGTCACCAGCAGGTACATGTTGTTATACAGATGTGGTTTGATTGATATTAAAGATGTTAAGAGTGAGTTGTATGGATGAAATTGTAAAATCTGTGACTCATTTGTTTCATTATGATGTCTTTTATGATATTGTATCATGTTTGTTTTTTTTACATGCTTAATCATATCTATATATGAGTTAGATGTCAACATTTAGAACTGACAGGATAATTAGTTTCAAGGATAATTAAGTTTAAGAGAGATATGAGGTTTTAGAGTAGTGAATTATCACTATGTTACTAACATAGGGCTTTCCCCATTTTTTATATAAAGCTGATACTCTGATATTGATATTTTCAGATTCAATTACCTTACACTACTTGTGACTACTCTATCATTGTAATTGTGTTGTATATCACATTTTGATATGCTTACAGAAATGTAAGACAAGTCTTTGTTTCAATAGGTTTTCAAGTATCAATGAAGACAACTATTTTCCATAATGTTTTAGATAAGTTGAGAATTTATATAGGATCTACATGTACAAACTGACTAAAGGTGTTTTTACCTAAGTAAAAATCTGAGCCAGAACAAATTAGAAGTACATTGTTTATTTATAATTTGAACCTTTTTATGAAGAAACAGTATATTGATAGCTGCAGTTTTCAACGGTAATAACTGCACATGGGGTTATCAAAGATCAAGTGAGGCTTTATAATTGTTGGACATATGTTCTCTATAAAAACTTATAAATTGGCTACTATACTGAAGTATTCTGGTTGTTTCAGAATGCTGCGGTGGGGGAGTGGACCTGTGGAGGAATCCCTTGTAGAGAAGTTTGATATTGTCCTCTGTGCAGACTGGTATGTATATATATGTATGTTTTAACACTTACACTATTTCCAGTTAACATTACAGCTCACATAGATAAAATGTTACAATTACTTTAAATCTTTAACTGTACCATCACTTCACATTTTATATAATATTATCAGCAGTGATAATACACATATATTGTAGTTCAGCAGCGATCATACACACACATTGTAGTTCAGCAGCGATCATACACACATATTGTAGTCAGCACTGATCATACACACATATTGTAGTCCAGCAGTGATCATACACACATATTGTAGTCAGCAGTGATCATACACACATATTGTAGTCAGCAGTGATCATACACACATTGTTGTCAGCACTGATCATACACACATATTGTAGTGAGCAGTGATCATACACACATTGTAGTCAGCAGTGATCATACACATATATTGTAGTCAGCAGTGATCATACACACATTGTAGTCAGCAGTGATCATACACACATTGTAGTCAGCAGTGATCATACACACATTGTAGTCAGCAGTGATCATACACACATATTGTAGTCAGCAGTGATCATACACACATTGTAGTCAGCAGTGATCATACACACATTGTAGTCAGCAGTGATCATACACACATATTGTAGTCCAGCAGTGATCATACACACATATTGCAGTCAGCAGTTATCATACACACATATTGTAGACAGCAGTGATCATACACACATATTGTCAGCAGTGATCATCATGCACACATATTGTAGTCAGCAGTGATCATGCACACATATTGTAGTCAGCAGTGATCATACACACATATTGTAGACAGTAGTGATCATACACATATATTGTAGTCAGCAGTGATCATACACACATTGTAGTCAGCAGTGATCATACACACATTGTAGTCAGCAGTGATCATACACACATTGTAGTCAGCAGTGATCATACACACATTGTAGTCAGCAGTGATCATACACACATATTGTAGTCAGCAGTGATCATACACACATTGTAGTCAGCAGTGATCATACACACATATTGTAGACAGTAGTGATCATACACACATATTGTAGTCAGCAGTGTTCATACACACACATATTGTTGTCAGCAGTGATCATACACACATATTGTAGTCAGCAGTGGTCATATAAACATATTGTTGTCCAGCAGCACACTCCCATGCAATATTAACTATGTACTTTCCTAGTTACCCAGTTTAAAACCAGGAATCTAGATAAGTTATTGGAGTAATACTCAAATATTCAATATATCTTTTAACTACACAGAGTTATGCTGTATAATCCTATGTAAATACCAATAATTTGACACATAGCAAATAACATTTTTATCGCACAAGAAATGAGCAGTTAACCTTTTTATATATGTCCCTTTATCATATTTGATACAAAAGTCATTCAGGAGCTTGCCTTACAAACAAATTTTCTATATTTATGATTTAGAAGACAGTGTTCACTGCTGAAATAGGATCTTGTGCCTGCCAGGAGCATATATGCCTCACTATTTCTACCTACCAATGAGCTAGTGTAGTCACAGGTCAGAATACCTCCTCACAATTTTTTTAAGAAAATTATTATGGTGAATGAGATCTATAGAATATGTTATGTATCACTGTTCTATCATTTCAGTTTGTTTTTTGATGATGGGAGAAAAGATCTGGTGGACCTCGTTTATACAATGGTGAAGCCACAAGTAAGCCTCACATTTAACTTTTTATACTTATTAACTGTAAATACACTGTATTAAAGCAATGAACTATTGTGTCATGGAATTCACAGTCATTATAAATGACAAAGCTTTGCAGACAAACATGATGTGAGTGGTTTTTGATTTGGTTTATCTGAAAGCCATGATTTTACATCTCCATTTCAGTCCTTAGATTATGCTGTAATGTGTAGGTCAGCTGATACGTTACACTGTACAATCAGATTTCTATGTAATTGTTCCTATCTTACATTAATCTTTATGTACGTGTGACATTGTGAAGCAAATCCTGCATAATTTCACTTTCTATTACATCATACACTGGATTTGAATTGTATTAAGGTAATTTTTAAAACAAGGGTGATAACTCCAGTGATGCTAAGTGTTTATATTGGATTGTTTTTATAGGGGAAGGTATTAATGTATGCACCACGGCGAGGAAAAACATTTGATGCATTTGTTAGTTTAGCAGAAGAGAAGTTTCATACTACTGTACAAGAGGAGTATGATTCTACAGTCTGGAGTCTACACAAACAGGTAAAATATATAGTCTTCAGTCTGGAGTCAACACAAACAGGTACAATATATAGTATCTACAGTCTGGAGTCAACACAAACAGGTACAATGTATAGTATCTACAGTCTGGAGTCTACACAAACAGGTACAATGTATAGTATCTACAGTCTGGAGTCTACACAAACAGGTACAATGTATAGTATCTACAGTCTGGAGCCTACACAAACAGGTACAATGTATAGTATCTACAGTCTGAAGTCTACACAAACAGGTACAATGTATAGTATCTACAGTCTGGAGTCTACACAAACAGGTACAATGTATAGTATCTACAGTCTGGAGTCTACACAAACAGGTACAATGTATAGTATCTACAGTCTGGAGTCTACACAAACAGGTACAATGTATAGTATCTACAGTCTGAAGTCTACACAAACAGGTACAATGTATAGTATCTACAGTCTGGAGTCTACACAAACAGGTACAATGTATAGTATCTACAGTCTGGAGTCTACACAAACAGGTACAATGTGTAGTATCTACAGTCTGGAGTCTACACAAACAGGTACAATGTATAGTATCTACAGTCTGGAGTCTACACAAACAGGTACAATGTATAGTATCTACAGTCTGGAGTCAACACAAACAGTACACAAACTACAGTCAACACAAACAGGTACAATGTATAGTATCTACAGTCTGGAGTCAACACAAACAGGTACAATGTATAGTATCTACAGTCTGGAGTCAACACAAACAGGTACAATGTATAGTATCTACAGTCTGGAGTCTACACAAACAGGTACAATGTATAGTATCTACAGTCTGGAGTCAACACAAACAGGTACAATATATAGTCTACAGTCTGGAGTCTACTCAAACAGGTACAATGTATAGTATCTACAGTCTGGAGTCTACACAAACAGGTACAATGTATAGTATCTACAGTCTGGAGTCTACACAAACAGGTACAATGTATAGTATCTACAGTCTGGAGCCTACACAAACAGGTACAATGTATAGTATCTACAGTCTGGAGTCTACACAAACAGGTACAATGTATAGTATCTACAGTCTGGAGTCTACACAAACAGGTACAATGTATAGTATCTACAGTCTGGAGTCTACACAAACAGGTACAATGTATAGTATCTACAGTCTGGAGTCTACACAAACAGGTACAATGTACAGTATCTACAGTCTGGAGTCTACACAAACAGGTACAATGTACAGTATCTACAGTCTGGAGTCTACACAAACAGGTACAATGTACAGTATCTGCAGTCTGGAGTCTACACAAACAGGTACAATGTATAGTATCTACAGTCTGATGTTTTTTTAATTTTCTCAAATTTTTCATTGTAAACTATTACATGAAGCATACTTAAAATAGCATATGAATATTTTATATGAAATAAGGAGCCATTTGTGTTATAAACCTTTTATCTGACCCCTATCAAAGGTAGACAAACTCTTGGTCCAATACTAATGTGTTGTTGACTTGTCATTTCCAGATGGATGCCAAAGGACTGGAGCACTATGATGCCAACATTCACTTCCCACTGTTCCTGTCCATGAAGCGCATCAACAAGGCCAGCTGATACTTGTATATTTCACAAGATACCGGTTTAAACCTCCAATTTTCATTTTGATTAAATGCACCAAAGATATAGGTATTATTTGAACAATATCCAGGTCATGTTACTCAGAATGAAAGGTGTCAAAATACTCAGTGTACTCTTATTTAGATGAGGTTCTACAGATTTTACGGTGTACATCTAATTTTATATACAAACATATTTTACATTTTCTAATTAAATAGAAACAAAAGTGCTTTGGCATATTTTTAGAACATATTTCATTTTAGTAAATATCTGAGTGTATATACCTTTGTGTATGCATTACCATAATCTTAGAAGGCAAATTGAACCCATGATTCCAACTACACTGTATTGATGTTTATTTATAAGTCCTGACAAACCTCTACACCACTAGCCCAACTACAGGAAAAAATATTGTTTTCTATGAGCACATAGTAATACTCTCCTGTATGTTGAACCAGAGAATGACATTCCCCTGTGTAAGATGGTCCTGTGTGTGATGGTCCTGTGAACATTCCCCTGTGTAAGATGGTCCTGTGTGTGATGGTCCTGTGAACATTCCCTTGTGTGTGACTTTGTCCCGTGTGTGATGGTTCTGTGAACATTCCCCTGTGTGTGACTTTGTCCTGTGTGTGATGGTCCTGTGAACATTCCCCTATGTGTGACTTTGTCCTGTGTGTGATGGTCCTGTGAACATGACTTTGTCCTGTATACGATGTAAATATGACAGCCCTCTATATACACATGACTTTCCCCAGCTTTATGATATTTCCCACTCAGGGCCCTAAAATCACACCATCACTTACTAAGGGTTAAGAAGCAATAATGCAACGTTGCCACATAATTGTAGAATGAAGTTCAGTGTTTGCTTAATTGATGTAGATACAGTTGTGTTATGTAGGAATATTTTTATTTAAAAAGTTGCTGATTGTTGTTTTTAAAGCTTTTTAACTTTTAAAGTAGATATTGGAACAACAGTACTGAGTACTGAATGTTTGTTACATCATTCCTCTATGTTATGTGAAGTACTTTTAACAGCATTAGAAAGCTCAGCAATTTAAGTTACCTATTTCTATGCTTTATAGACATTTTGTTTCGTAAATTATATAAATAGACACACATTCCATTTGTCTTGTCCTAATATCTTATTAGGGGCTAATGCATCGATTATGCAGACCTGCTACATTTATTGTCATATATCAAGAAAAATTCACCATGAGCTGCTACTGTTTACATGATGAAAAATACACTCTATAAGAGTTTTAAATCCTCTTTATTCTAGAATCTAGAAAGTTTTAATACAAAGTTGTCTTAGATACCAAAACCTTTAATTTAGTGTCCAGATAAATATGTACAATTACATCTGACAATATGATACTGTATCTAGGACAACAGGAAAGCAGACAAAAAAATCAGTAAAACCTCTCATGCGATTTCATTTGTTGGTATGATTTGTTTCAAAATTGTCCTGGACTAGTCTGCTGGTATGTGGTGAATACCCATGGTGTTATAAACATACATAAGTTTGATTGTAATCTTACCTTTACATTTTTTGTGTTAAAGATACTGCACATACATGTGTACAAATTACAGATTCCATACGCAGCTGTTGCCTATGTCTGAATCCATCATTGTGTTTGTATGTTCGAAATTGATGTCCCGACAATAAAATGACATTTATAGTATACAAGTATTTTAAAGGATGGAGTGTATTTCACTTTGATTGTGCATGCATGTTAGCTTTGGTAATGTATATGTATCATTATCATGTCATGATAACAGTGAGGGATATATTTTTATAGCATTTTCTTACAAGCAACATCATGGACACCAACTGTTTTACTAGACAGAGTAAAAGTTAACAATTTTTTTCTGTGATTGATATAAGGCTATTATGGAAAGCTGGTATCACATGTGAAAGGCTTAACACTAAAACTTTATCTCTAATCGTTTAAAGCTTTCAAAATGACAAAGTCATTAGAAAATATCTCTTTTGAGGAGAACAAATGTTTAGTTGGCTTATGTTGTCATTTATAAATGTTAAAGAGTTGTTGTCATTTGTTTATTTTGTTTGTGACATTCTGTTTAATTGGATATTTTCTTTGAATGCTTTATGAGAATATGTTATACTAAACATAGTATATCCTTTACACCAAATGTTAATGCATAAGGTGTTGTGTTATGCTGAATGTGAAATGCTTAATGTGAAGTACCTTTTACATGCTGTGCATCTGTAGGATACTCGTCTTATATAGTCATCACATAGATCAGCTGCTAGCTAGGCTATTTATAGCCTGGACTGAAGTTTACACTACAAAAAGACCCAACAAAGCACATACGAGGGCTGACTGATAAGTTGTGAGCCTCATATTTAAGGGTTTGACTTTTGGCAGACATATTGCATTATTTTTTCGACATAATCCCCATCAGTATCTATACACTAGTGATATTTAAGGGCCTCAATGCCACTTTTAAAAAAGTATTTTTCTTTTGACTGTTCAGAAAGTCCTCCATCGCATATATGACGTCATCATCTGACTGAAAGTGGGTACCGGAAATGGCCTTTTTCAAATTTGCAAATAGATGAAAGTCTGATTGAGCAAGATCAGGCAAATAAAGTGGATGATCAATCAATTTGATAGGGTAATTTTTTTTTTGACATGATTTTAAAACTGGGAGTTTGTATTTACCCCCACGAAACATGTTTGCGGGGAATATTAATTTGGTCTCCATCCGTCCATACATTTGAGAGCTTTTTCGTGCTATAACTTCAAAAGCTTTCAACACAACTTTACAAAACTTGCTATATATATCAAGTCAGTGCTCTTGTTGTGCCTTTTGCTATTCGTGACATTTCTTTATTTTTTGTACATTTTGTGTTACCATGGAAACATAGCCAAAAAACACAAAATTAGTTTTTTCCTTTCCAGGCTACAACTTCAAAACCATTCCACTCAACTCAACAAAACTTTCTGTATATATTAGGTTAGTGCCCTAGTTGTGCCTTTTGCTATCAATGACATTTTAAATATGAAACAACAATGATTAGTGTAGAGTTGGCTTTTTATGATAAATTCTGGTTTGTGCTGATGAAGGTTAGTAATTATCTAAATATCAGCAGTTCTGATGACGAGTGTACTCTGTACATTGTTGTGATGATGCGGTATTTCAGTCCTGTAAATCAAGTGTACTCTGTACATTGTTGTGATGATGCGGTATTTCAGTCCTGTAAATCAAGTGTACTCTGTACATTGTTGTGATGATGTGGTGTTTCAGTCCTGTAAATCAAGTGTACTCTGTACATTGTTGTGATGATGCGGTGTTTCAGTCCTGTAAATCAAGTGTACTCTGTACATTGTTGTGATGATGTGGTATATCAGTCCTGTAAATCAAGTGTACTCTGTACATTGTTGTGATGATGTGGTATATCAGTCCTGTAAATCAAGTGTACGCTGTACATTGTTGTGATGATGTGGTATGTGTACAATCGTGAGCAAGCATTTATCAACTCTTATTCAGTTGAAATGAAATCTAATGTGCAGTCGTTGTTATATAAGGGTGACCAATCATTGAAGATCACATGTCATTCCATACTGTTATAACACATTCTTTACTTCTTTATTTCAATATACATGTACATCATACACAGCGTCTACAAGTGTCCTTGACACTTTTATTATGAGATAGACCCTAGCTATATGTCTACAAACAGCCATGAATGCTTTGTGTATCCCTTCCAGTTATCACATCCCCAATAAAAACACTTCCTGATTTAACATTTCACATTAAGCATTCGGTATGAAGTAATTCAGATAAAGCATTGAGAATGTTGTACCAACTTTCCATAGAGTACAGATGTACATGTACTGACTGAATGCATACCTTTGTATTTAAATATACAGCTGTAGTTAATGTCTACATGGAAATGAAGGGTTTTGAACCATTTCCACAAACACTATGCATATCATTTTCCTGGTGAACATGCAAATAAATATAGTAAAATGATTTCATTTGTTGTTTTTATCATTCATTGGTTGAGGATGCTTTTTGAGGAGAAAAAAATGTGATCATAGGAATTCAATGCTGTGAAAGTCAAACTATTCTTAATATAAATGTCAATTCTAAAAAAATGTATTCAGATGAATATTGTCATCTTAACTGTTGGTAGGAGATACCTACAGTTTAGGAGAGCTACATGCATATACCACGGTATACAATATCCTGAGATACAATAAAAGCACTCAATAAACAATATACAATATGATGAAATACAGTTTAAACACCAAATAAGGCAATGTACAATATGATGAGATACAACAAATAGACAGTACACAATATGACAAGATACAATATAAACACGAAATATAAAATATGATGAGATACAGTATAAACACAAAATAGACAATATACAATATGATGGGATACATAAAAAAGCACCAAACAGACAATATAAAAATAGATACAATAAAATAGAGTCAGTGAAACTAATGTTGCTCCCAACAAAGGGCAATAATTCTGAAATTAAGGGGTCGCAGGCTATGAATTTGGTATACTGCACGTTATCTTAGTATGACCAATATATACATCAAGTTTCATTATCCTAGTTTTAATGCAAAAAAAATTTAAAGTTGTGCTGTAGACACAAAATTTTAACAAAGGAGTAAAACTTTACTTAAGAGGTTTTGGGTCTTTTTTTTTTCATGTTACACCAAGTATAATCAATGTATACCCTGAGTTTCTTTATCCTAGCTTGAATGCAAGCAGTTATGCTCTGGTCAAGACATTTTTTAACAAAAGACAATAACTCTGTATTTGAGGGGTTAAGGGCCCTGAATTTGCATATCTATCCATATCTTTTTCCAGGTGAACATACAAATAAATAAAGTAAAACTACATTAGGTTTTTATCATTCTTTGGTTGAGGATGTTTCCTGAAAAAAATATGTGTTCTTAGGAATACAAAAATGTGAAAGTTAGACAAGTCTTGATATCTAGTTGGTACGAAGGTTTATCGAAAAAACTTAAAACGAATTTACAAGTAGCACAAAACAAAGTAATTAGATTTATTTTGAATGTTCACAATAGGTACAGTCTGACACATAATGATTTTCTTCGGGTAAACATGCTT